TTAGGTAAACTCTTACCAGAAATTTGATTTGACCGGTTATTTTATTATCTCTCTTACTCCCTTAGTTACATATATATATTCGTATAATTAATCTCATAATTCTAATTCACCTCTAAACTGATTCAAGTCAACATTTCAACATTAGGAATTTTATTATATTGCAGTAATAATCCTAAACGTATATGTTGTGATCTTAGCAGATTTTAGTGAGATCACCAAATTAAGTGATAAGACAATCGAAAACCTGGTATTGTGGTGTGCGCTACTTATGTAGACATAAGTAGTATATGACGTGAGTCGTGAATAGAATGTCTGGCAGCAGAGAGATGAGAAGATCAAACAGTAAAGAATGAAAAAAGAATGCAATTTGTATGAAAATGCAAAAACAAAGGAATTCTGACTCATTTGAAACAGTTCATGGACGTTTTGCAAATTGGGCATTTAATATATGGTTGTTAGATTTTAGTAACAAATTCTATTGTCCCCAATGGAGTTCTAGTTCACTACAGGGTGACTGGATAGTTGTTTGTTAAAGTATATGACTCTGTGTCAGTGCTCATCCACGACCCCGAAGGTCCTGAGTTTTATCCGCAATGATCTCACTGCAATCCACAAATTCCATATTGATATTTAAAAGCCTTATTTGCCTTAAGCCTGAATATTCCCATTGTAACAGTGATTTGGATTAATAAGTGTCTATCGACAAAAATATTCTTCTTCCAGTGAATAACGTTGTTTTGAATTCAAAGAAAGCTGTTTGCAACAGATGGAGAACGTTTTGATCTTTATAAACCATGAAATAAGCGAATTAATAAAAATTTTGGCAAGACTATAATTTATGGACAAATCAATCAACTTGAAATTCTTTATCAATTCGGCTAAATAGCGTCCCTAACCATCAACCGTAAATCACGATCGTCATCCTTCACACAGGTTTAAAACCCTCTTTTAACTCAGAATCGATCACAATGGCATAAGTGTATACACTATCTGTTTTCCCTTAAACTATGAGATTAAAATTGCTTTATATATTTCTTTCTATTAACTAATTCTTTCTTCCTGTAGTATATCCTTATACATAATCTTTCTTTTACATATTACTACCATTGAATTAACTACTTCTATGAATTCGATGTTCATCTTATTGTGCTAATGAGGTGTAGCAACTTGGACTGATACATATATATGCCTGGTCCTACGTTGCAGCTGACTGACTGACTGATCTAGTTAGTAATTAGACATCCTCAAGGCCATTTTAGTGTCACTCAAATGGTCATCCATAAATTATAGTCTCACCAAAATTTTATACATAAACACTAAGTGAATCTGTACATCATAATGATGTATAATTCATGTTCACTGTATGTTTCTAACTAATTTTATTCATCTAAAGCTAATTGTTCAGACAAGATTTTTACCTGAAATGAATATATATATGTATAATTGATGAGAATAACATAAACTAATTATGTATATATATATTGTTATAAATTATACCTATGGTATAAAACTGACAGAATAATCTTCAATGTCCTTAACATAGGATATTTTCTTTCATTCTGTCAAAGATTCATCATTCCACTTGTCAATATATATATATATATATATATATATATATATATATATATATATATATATACATACTAATGGATATAATATCATTGTATTTCATGTATAAATAAGATAAACGATATTCTAATAACCGACATATTTCTCACCTTATTCAGTTTTAACAAATTCTACTTTATAAATTATACATTTCATTTTGTCAAATTATGTAAATCCTACCAATACAATTTAGATTATACAATTATTATTAGCATGTATATTGATATACAAAATAAAGGATTATAGATAAGAATAAAGTATTAATGGTCCTGATGATGATGATGATGACGGTGATGATGATGATGATGTTTTTTTAAAGAAAAAAAAGAAAAGAAAAGAAGAAGGAACAATCAGAAAAAAAAAAAGAGAATTAGTTATTCTCATCACAAATTGTTGACATTTTGTATGAACTAATTTCTTATTTGATTGTTGACATAGACATGTGAACTAAATCTGGTTGAAATGTATAAAGAATATTGATATACTTATAGGACATTGATAATGACGTTTGAATTTAAAGAAATTCTGTTGATGTAAATAAGGATTATCAAATAAATTTTAAGTAAAGTTGAATAGTGGTTACTAGTAGAATCTAAGGTACATTTTTTATTGGATTTATGAATCGTTACCTGAATGTAACGGTATACAAGTGTTGATATCAACATGAATTGACTACAGTCTTTAACATGAACAATGAGAAAATAAAGATCTTTATAAGAAAAATTCATGCTTATTCCAGAAGCCTAGTGATTGCAAGGACCAGAGAATAACGCTTTTGCGTTTCAAACGAAAGGTATTGATATGCAAGTATATCTAACTGATGAGTCACAAATGGAGTGAAACGCAAGTCCTAGATTCCAATCCTAATTGCTATCGTAATGTACTCAAACTGTTACCGAATTGCAATATTGAGGCAATTCCCTCAGGATATGTACATGTCAGAAGAAACTGATCAATTATAATCTGTAACACCAAAAACTGGATAATACAAACCCTCGGAAATAGCTATTACCTATCTGAAATATTGTGAAATTTCTTAAAATAGTTTTGTATCTAGCAAATAATGATCGACGGACTGTAAAACGAAATGTTGTTATGAAGCTACAAAATAACTGTAGTATACAGTATTTTAAAATGAATAACCAGGATCCTGTTGCCAAATGATTGGGAATATTAATAACGTGTGAAAAATATGTTCAGAGTTTCCTAACAATCGCTAAGTATTACTCAAACACTCGATTGTATAGGGTTTTAGTGTAATAGTTATTTCACCTAGTTAAAATAGATTAAATGATGCTTAGATAATAAATATATGTCTACAGCATCAAACTTCTTACGTCATCATATACAAAAATTGTATTTTTAACTTTATATCTTATGACGATAATAATTGATACATTTTCAAATTTATTACTTACTATTCTCAGGATGGGGTTTAGTGGAGATTGTAGAAATTTAAGAGTTGAATTCATGAATCAATTACAGCTAGTTGACCATGGAAAACGCGCAAGCACTGGAAGGCTGTTCCGTCCTAGTATGATACTCCTCAGCAGTGAGCATCCACAAGCCCGCATGTAGGACTCAAACCCAGAACCTTCGATCTCGTGCGCGAACGCTTAATCTCTAGACCACTGAGTCAGTATCCAACAATGTTAATGTCTAACTTCAACCAATCCACGATAGTGCGCCACCATTCACTTATTAAATAATAGCTTTTGATCAAATGCATTTTTGTAAATATAAAAGTATGATATACAGAACGGTACGATTGTACATAGATACTTTCACTGACAAGCTCAAACTCATCTTTCAGATTAACTTATAACTTCGAATAGCATTTTACATCTTCATAATACAGATAAAATAGTAACTAGTGCTAATCTAATGTTAGTTTACGTCAAAAATTCACAAAACGTTGACATAATCAGACCTATTAGGCTTTTTATTAAAATTAATACTCTGTCTTGATCTTATAAACTATTCAAATCTGGCTAATATTGTCATCAAATGTCAGAAATCCAAGTTCCTACAAATTGAAATATCACGGAAATACTAATATTGAATTATTAACTTTATTTCTATAGGTGTTCAATTTATTTGAATCTTGTGGTCCGATCTTGGTACTGATAACTGCACTGTTAGTTTACTTTTGGTAGATTAGGAATCCTTGATATCACAATGTCAGTAGAGCTAAGTGCTTTGTACAAACGCTAAGTGAACAATCACGGTTGTCACAAGCTTTTAAATGACATCAGGAAGCATTGGACATCCATTTCGTCTTAGTATGAGATTTTTCAACAGTGAGTCTCAATATAAACATTCTTGTTATATGAATAGTCAGTTTATATTTCACTATCTGAGAATATGATATTTTATGTTGTCGGCCAATACTGTTGATCTTATAAGTAACTTGATGAACAATGCTATTTGGTTGAAATACTCCGATAACAATAGATCAATTCGATTGATTTACTATAACAAGCTTATTCACTGATCGGTCTTAATTGTAATTCAATGAGATGTGATCAGTTTTCATTGTGAGAAATAAAAATTAAATTGGACACATTAGACTATGTGAAAAAAATAGAGTAAAACAAAAATAGTATTGACTAAGTCACTTGGAATTTTTATGCTTTTTATGGCTTCAAAAAACCTGAATACTTTCTCTTGATAATTTTTACGCAAAATCAAAAACGGCCAGGTTAAGATTAACGATTTCATTGAGACATTGGACGATAATTCCTTTTCAGCCATTTAGGAACATGAAGGTTATCTTTACTTGCAAATTACAATCATTCATATACATAGAAATGGATAAAAATAGTGGAGTGTTACACGATAATTTATATTCTGTTTAGGTTCGTTTGTAAAGCGTAGACACTGTTTTTTTTAACAATACTGACATCGGCTGAACAGTACGTTCTACAAATAAGCGACTATGTTTTCTTTTCAACGTAAAGCTATTTGACTCGTTTTTATATAAAAGAGTGAAATAGACTGGCTTTTAGGTTCTACTAGACTAGCGAGTCTTTCCTTCAACTTATAAATTTTAATGGTTATCTATTCTGCATCAGTGATTTATTTAAGGATGACATCATGCTTCCAATAGTATTATTTGTACAAAAACAATCACTTCTGTTGAAGAAAGGTCATTAATCAAACTTCTATTTACTGAACTTACTAGTAATAATAGAAACCAATCCAGTGCCCTATTCACTTAGCGTTTGGCTGAGACAAGTATATCTACGTTAAATCTACAGTAGTTGACTCGAAGCAACTGATAAGAACCTAGTGAAATAAAGTGAATTCATATTGTTCCGCATCAATCTTTGTTTTATCTCTCATCAAAATGATTGTTTTATTGTGTAATATATATATATGTAATCACTAACCTTACTGCTCGGACGTTTGAGTACATCACCAATTCCGCCACCATTTAGTAGTCCTTCTCGAAGAGTTGTCAATATACACATACGTAGTGAATCACATCGACGTTCTGTACTATCAAGAGTTTCTGAATAAAACGCCAATCGATTCATAATAAGAAGATAAAATAAAGGGAAATTCAAGTAATTCAATTAAAGCTATATTGTCTAAAAATATAATTTATGTAAAATTCTTAATGGAACAGAAAAATTATGTATAAACACCGAAATTATATATATATATATATATATATACAGACAAATATAGGACATTTATGCATCTATTCTCTGATCTTAAAACCTCTGTCGGTGAATGAATATCAACACTATTGAGCAAAGCTGGATAGTGCCTAGCAGTGGAATTCAGAATGCGAGTTTTTTTACTATTTGCGACTTGTCAGATGGATGTACTTGCATCCCATAATGAATATTCACTCTGAGACTCGAATCTAGTACAATTCACTTCAAAAACCAACGTGTTATCCACTTAGCTACTAAGTCCTGATACTCACCAGCTTGTACAATGTGATGAAGTTTTAATTTATGCTGTACCACCTCGAAGATTAAGGTACATCAATCTGACGAATTCAAAATAGGACGAAACGCGCGTCATGGTTTCTACTGCTAGCCACTATCCATCTTTGATTATAAAGCTTGTGACTTAAGGCAATATTGAGGCAATCTACACATGATGCACATATGCCAATAAAAGATTGATCAATTGCATTCCTAAACACCAATGGGGATATTCAAACAAACAATACGAGATGAATTAACGTCAACACTAGCTTAAATGATTTCATATTACTTAGCATGTGTTCGACCAGAACACAGAAGTGACTTTAAACTAAGTCATCGACTATACAAAGAAGTTAAAATTCACTACCACATATAATCTTACAAGTTTTCATGATTTTTAATATTACAGAAAATGAATTATGACCTGTAATACACAAGTAATAGTGATACATGTTCAACAACCCAATCAAAGTTCGACAATCACCTCTTTCATATTACTATTAACTGTGTTTTTAAATTTACGTGTAACTGATGAAGCATCTACATTGGCCAATGAGAAAGAAGAGCATGTCTTAGATATTTTGAACATGTTCCAAAAAGCATTAGAACAATAGAAAGAACTACTATAAACAGCGTAATTATTAAACATTTCTTGGACACAGGAAATCAGATTGACACACCTTGTAGTCTTTCCAGATGATCAATAAACAGCCAAGTTCCAATCTTCTGAAGTTGTTGATATCAGGATGTAAAAACCTGATCTATGTGTTCTTAATGAGATGATTATTAATCATGCCTTGCCTTAGTGACAGACATTTCTTCATTGCGCCATAAAATTTTGTTCAACTCTTTAGTTCCATTAGATAAATCATTGTCTTTTTATTTAGACTATCTTCTAGATTAGTAATCTCATTTTGACTAATTGAGCTTTGTTCATTTTATTTTACTTATTATCAGAGTTTACTCTTTACGTATTCCCTTGTTTCTAGACCTTCGGACTCTTGATACAATCAATGCACCATTTTTGTATCTATATGAATATCAGTTAATTGTAAAACACTATGGAATATAACTATGTGATTCATTGTCTTTTAACTGTTTTAAACTCTCATTACATAAGTACCAAAGAAGAGGAAATTACTGAAACAGTTTAAGTAGGATTATTTCTAAACGAAATGCCATTCATTATCCACTAATTTTGTCTTGAGTTAATCTAGATAGATTCAATTTGAAAACCATTGTTAACTGCTAGAATTTAGATGGTTTTGCTCTCTGAGTTGGATAGTTTGGTCGCGGAGAGAAATGATTTTCAGAAAAATCATGGTCCAAAAATCAAATCAAAGGGAGATACAATCGAAATAAAGAAGTAGACAATGACAGGTTAAAGATTAACAATAACCAATCAACATCACGGTCGACAGGACAAACTGTGAGTCATATCTGGAGAAATTCAAACCCTTCATTTCTATATGAAGTTTGTACTGATGAACTTGTTCAGAAGACCAATGCAAGCTCCACGATCAAACCACCCAACTCAGACAACAAAACTCTACCCTAAATCACCAACCTGTGCAACAAATATTCTCTACCAGTTGCTAGACTTGAATATATACATTGAACACAGCTAGTTTAAATAATAAATAACTGACAAGACTTTTTATTTTAAATGAGCACAAATAAAGTAGAACTATAAAATACAATGACTATTAGTTATTCCATTAATAAGCTCTACTGAAGAATCGAATAAAATAAAGAATTTAGCTTGATCACATCCATATCCGATTTGTCCATCTAATCATACGATTATAATATTCTTCTAAATTTGTGTATCGTAAAATCATGTTTATTTATAACGTTCAGAATAGAGTAAGTTTCTAAAAATGTTGAAGTAGCAATACTTAGATCAGTGAATATGTCCGAATGTAAGTGATTTATTTGAAAATTATTATTAATGGCTTTATTAAATATTATATTTTGGTACAAGCAACATGTAAAACCTTGAAGCACTGAATGGCCGTTTCGTCCTACTGTAGAACTCCTCAGTAATGTGCATCCACGATCCCGCCTCGCGCGCGAACGCTTGTATTTGTCGCTCAATTTCGTGGTTTAGTTGGAGTTAGACATTAACACTGTTGGATACCGGTTGACTCAGTGGTCTAATGGTTAAGCGTTTGCGCGCGAGACTGACAGGTCCTGGGTTCGAATTTCGCGAGTCGGGGGCGTGGATGCTCACTGCTGAGAAGTCCCACAATATGACGAAACAGTCATCCAGTGCTTACACGTTTTTCATAATGTTCTAGCTTCAAATGACTTATGATCTAATCTATTAAAATTATAATAATATCCACAAAAACCTCTTCTGTTATTACAATATTGATATCAATAATTTATCAAAATGTTATAATCAATATTATTAGAAGCTATTAATGTAACTAACTTTGCTATTTTCATCAATTTAATAGCACAGTATATGTTTCCTACTGCTGATTACGTAATTTATCAATTATATATATATATATATATATATATATATATATATATATATATATATATATATATATATATAATTAGAACTAACGTAATTCCGGAGTGAATTCAATTGATCTCCAACGATAATGTTCAATACTCTTACTTACTGTATAGAACAATTCTGATTTACAACTTAACTAATTACAAAGTATAAATATGTTATAACGATTTTTATAAACATTATCTATTATACATAGAAAAGTCTATTGTAAAATTAGACTAAACTAATGGATGACATAAAAAAGTTATTTATTCATTTATTTATTAGTGTTTTGTTACAATTACAATTATGTTTACATAGAAATTATTTTATTATTGCAAAGTTATTAAATTCAGATGACTAATTCAATATTCAAGACACTAATGTAAGTAGTTCATTTAACTTATAATAACAATCTTATTTATTTATAAGCAAAGATGAATAGTGGCTAGCAGTAGAATCCAGTTTGACGCGCGTTTAGTTCTATTTGGGACTCGTCAGATGGTGGATGTACCTGCATCTCACAGTTGATGTTCACTCAGGGACTCGAACCCATTACCGTTCGCTTCAAACATCATCGCGTTATCCACTTAGCTACTGAGCCCTGACAGTCACTTGTTTGTGCAATGAGGTGAAGTTTAATTCACTTGGTATTGTTTTACTTGAATTTTCCCATTGATGTTTAGGACTGAAATTGATCAGTCGGTTATTGGCATGTATGCATATGTGCATACTGTGTGTATTGCCTCGATATTGCCTTAATTTACAAGTATTATAAGCAAAGATGGATAGTGGCTCGCAGTGGATTTGTTCTTTAAATTATATAGTTTGGTTGTGAAGATTTCATTGTCACTTTGTTTACTATGATCAATACATAGACTGATAGTTGATGTTGATAAGAACCAAAATGATACATTCATAATTAAACTATTTAGTTGAAATAATACAACATTAAGAAAAAAATCTACCTGAGCAGCTAATTTTTGACGGATCTTAATAGTAAGATATTTTGAATGAACTATAAAATGGAACATTTACAAGAAACAAAAAAAATATTCAAATGTTTACAATGAACTGATCATTTGGTACAAACCAATATCATTGTGCAGTGTGACCACTACTCTAAAAGACTCAATGTCGTGTGCATTATCTTGAGATTTAAAGTAGTAGTAGTTATTTTATGTGGAACCATTGGTCTAGGTTTCATGCTATTGGTTTCACATCATATACATGTAGCTCTAATCTTTAGGGAACTGATGATCTCGGCTTTATAGACTTAGTTATCCGGACCAAGAACAACCTCCTGTAAGATTGGGATATTTAGAATTGATCGATCACCGAGTAGTAAATAGTGTCATGTTTGTCAAGTCTATCAGGTAACATCAGTTGCTCCAAGATTACAGGAGTGAATCACTGACGAGTACTGAATGGTTCGAACCTTAGCTCTATAGATTCCCATCAACTACCTTAAACCACTTAACATATCCAATCATTACAGTGAATTTCATGCAGTTAGTTCCCTTTATGAATTTAAATAAAGCAAGAACAAATATTGATGCAGTAAATTTTACAAATAAAAATATTAACTGTTATTCACAACTTAATATTTTGGACATGATATTATTATTATTATTACAAATAAACATATAAACAAACCATTGTCATTTGTTATGTCGATTTCAATAGTAAAATCATTTTGAAAATAAGCATATCCAATGATGGAATATAAGTAGATAATGATTAGTGCTAAAATTCCAGTTAAGAAAATTGATCGACCATTTTTAGTCACTGATCGTACAACATTTAACAAAGTCTCTTCACGTGTAACCACATCAAGTAACTAAAATTCAATAATAAAAATACAGAATATTTGTGTATAGGGTATATGTAGGCTTTATACTGATTATTTTGTGATGGTGAGGAAGATTTATAGCTCAGGTGGATGATTTTGATGGAGTTTTGTTCTCTGAGCTGCATGGTTTCGTCGTGGTCTCCTACCCGAAGTTTGTGCTGATGATGTCGTTCAGAAGAACGACGAAAGCTCCGCGACCAAATCATCCAGTTCAGAGAATAAAACTCCATTAAAATGATTATTTCGTGTCAAATAATAACTAACGTTAGCCTTAAATTTCATATAATCATACTTTAAAAAATGCAAGAGCAAGTTGAACAGTATATGATTGAGATCATTAACCGATTGATCTTAGACCACCATTGAAAACCTAGAAGCACTGGATGGCCGTTTCGTCCTAGTATGGGACTCCGCAGCAGTGTGCATCCACGATCCCGCTCGCGGGATTCGAACCCAGAGCCTTCAGTCTCGCGCGCGAACGCTTAACCTACTGGACCATTGAACCGGTTGGCGTCCAATGGTGTTAATGTGTACCATCTTGCGCTACCATCTTCCATTGTACTAAGGTAGATACCTGTTTCTACTCGACACGGATTAGTTCTACTAGTCAATGGGGTCTAGCACCAATCGGTTCATGATCTCAATCAAAATATTAACAATCTCCACAACCCCTAAACTGAACAGTATATCATTGAATTTTACAATAAGATTCAATTTGACAGGATAGTCCCCAGTTAACATACAAAAAATGATTATTCGTCTTGTCAATTACAAACAAAGATTTACTACTTTTTGGTAATCAAATAATCTGAATGAATAATATGAAATGTTTTTTAGACAATAAGAAAGTATAAAATATATCTACTGTTTTAAAACGATGAAATATTCACACTGTATTATGCATTCAAAGAGTAATTCTTAACTTATTAGTAGAATGTCTATTTGTTTATATTAATAATATAAACAAACTACGGTACAATCCCTAGACTGTTATAATTTTAAATATATATAGGTAATTCTTCATAGTTTACCAAAAAAATACAAATGTTACACAATTATTGTTGTTCATTTCATCAGACCAACTAGTTACTTTTTTAGAAAAAAAAAAAGGTATTGAAAGGCATGTAACAGATCTCTGTCTCATATAAACCATAAAATAGCATTCAAACATTCACAATAAACTTTCAAACTAGATTTAAATGTTATCAGCTCTAAACATACTTCATCACACCATAATGATATGTTCACAAAAAATTTCAATAATAATAAAATAAAAATAGTTGTCAATCTATGTTTATCATCATCGAGTTGTGGAGATTATTGATTATTAATTGAGTTCATAAATCGATCAATGTTAAACCACTATTGAAAAATTGTAAGCACTAAATGACCATTTCAATCTAATATAGGACTTGACAGGAGTATACATTCATAACCTTGCACATTGAACTTCAACTCAAGACCTTCGATTTTGTACGAACTCTAACCGTGTTAATGTTTAATTTCAATCCATCTAAAGTTGGACAGCATTCCTTCAATAGAAGAACATATAGAACTCAAAACAACTTTCAACCCATATCAAAGTCACAATCTTCAATACCAACGTCAAAACAGTTCTACGATATGGAGCTGAAACTTGGAGAACTACTACAACCATCATCAAGAAGGTACAAGTATTTATAAATGGTTGTCTACGAAATATACTCAACATCCATTGGTCGGATACCATCAGAAACAGCCTTTTGTGGGAGAGAAAAAAACGGCTTCCAACTGAAGAGGAAATTAGGAAAATACGATGGAAATGGATAGGACATACATGGCGCAAATCATCAAACTCCATCACAAGGCAAGCCCTAACATGGAATCCTGAAGGGAAGCGGATAAGAGGAAGGCCAAAGAACACATTACGTCGGGAAATAGAAGCAGATATGAAAAGGATGAATAACAAGTGGAGAGAGCTGGAAAGGATTGCCCAGGACATGTTTGGATGGAGCGTGCTGGTGTGCGACCTATGCTCATTCATGAGGAGTAACAGGCGTAAGTAAGCATCTAAAGTCGTTGATGCAATTGAAGGTCAAGATCCTATAAAAGTCACTAACCAACTCTTGAATGTTCATTATGGTATATTTATCAAAACTAGTGTTAAACCAAATATTTAAAGATTAGTTAGGTAAATGCTTCATAGGTGAGTTCACAGTTTTACACATATACACTAAACTTAGCAAACATATGGTTTGACAACAACAAAATAACACCATAGTTGATACAATTCAATATCGATTATATCATTTATATAAATGAATACAAAAAAAAAGAACAAACAAACAAACAAATGAAAACATATTTATATATAATCACTTACAACAAGACTATAAAAGAATGGATGTATTATAATTCCAAAACCAGTAAATATAATCAATATGAAATGATATATTAATTTATAATGTAATTGATTTGCATCATTTATTAAATGATGAAATAATGATATTTGTTGTATAGATTTCAACAATTCATATCCAATAAAGTAGATATTATTCCACCATGATAAGAATAATAATAATAATAATGTAAATGACAATGTTTTTCTGTTATGAATTAATTTTATATTTTTTTTATGATTATTTATTAATTTTAAATATGTTTTCCAATTTATTTCATTAGTATTAATTGAATTAGAAAATAAACAATTTTTGTAATTTTTTATTAAAAAATATTGTTTATATATAATGAATAAATTTGTAAATCTAAAAATAAACTAAAAAAAGAAATTAAATATAAATTAAATATAAAGTAGAGTAAAGTATGATCAATAGGGGGTTATGGGGAGATTTTTTGTTTTTTTTTTTTTAGAAATTTCAATAGTTGAAATTATGAATTAATTGAAACTAGATCATCATGGTGTACGGTGGCTCAATTTCGTGGATTGGTTAATGTTAGATATTAACACTGTTGAATGCTGACTGTCTCATTAGTGTAATGGTTAAGCGCTCTCACGTGCAAGATTGATAGGTTCTGTGTTTGAATCTCATGGATGGCGGGATCCTGGATGCGCACTGATGAGGAGTCTTATACTAGGACGAAACGGTCGTCCAGTGTTTCCAGATTTTCAATGATGGTCTAGCTTTAAGTGACTCATGATTTTAATCATTGAAGTGTAGAGTAGTTAATTAAAATGGAAATAATAATATTTGATTGTTATTAAATTTAAAACAATTAGTCTTTTCGATAAATTTTGATAGTGCAATAAGAAAACGAAGTTTATCAGAATTGTGTGATGATATATTTGTGCATTACATTTTGAACAATCTAATCACACATAATGTACTTGTTGAGACATTTTTATATTACTCATTGAGATCTTGAACTGACTGATGTCAGACCACCATTGAAAACCTAGAAACACTGGATGGCCGTTTCATTCTATTGTGGGACTTATTAGCAGTGCGCATCCACGATCCTGCTCGCGGCATTCGAACCTAGGGCCTTCAGACTCACGCGCGAACGCTTAACCTACTGGACCACTGAGCCGGCATCCAATGGTGTTCATGTCTAACCTCAACCAATCCACGAAATTGCGCGATCATCTTCCATTGTACTAAGGTAGATACCTGCCTCTACCCGACACGGAATAACTCCACTGATCACGGCTTCTTACAAGAACTCCGAGAATTTCCCCACGAAGTTAGTCACTAATGAGCACATGGTAATTATCAGTATACGGTTATGGAGATTATTAAAATTAAAAGGTCAACTAGACAGGTTAAAGGTAAGTCGCAACAAAGAAAAAAAATAATAGCATTAAAGTACACACAAACAATGTGAATTCCACTCACGTTTTAGATGATAGTCTGACTGATGTCTATCTCTCAAGGTATATGATATAATTATCTAGATATTGAGGCGAATACAACTTAACAATTATGTTTAGAATATCAGTATACTAATAAAATAATTTCAGCAATAGCCTACTGTAGAAGGGAAAAAACTAGCTTCCAGCTGAATAGGAAATTAGTAAAAGACGATGGAAATGGATAGGATGTACATTACGTAAATCATCAAATTTCATCACAACGCAAATGCTAACTTGGAATTCCGAAATGAAGCGGAAACGAGGAATGCCAAGGAACACATTACGTCGAGAAATAGAATCAGATATGAAGAGGATGAATAACAAGTGGAAAGAACTGGAAAGGATTTCTTGGGACAGGTTTGGATGGAGAGTGCTGGTTGTTGGCCTATGCTTCTCCACGAGGAGTAACAGGCATAAGTAAGTAATAAGATAACTGCTTTTACATAAATATGATACATATTTAACTCTGATATTTAAAAAATTACCACGTAAGTGTAATATTCCTCATATATATACACGGAGTAGTTGTTTCATAATTGCTAACCATAATTTAAAAATATACTGAAAGCTTATATCAACAACTTATATGAAATTACCTACTCATTACGCTGATCAAATAATCTTGAATATCAGTAACTGAGAAACTTAACCTCTTAGGTAATTGTACAATATGTGCTGCACAAGTGAATGGCTGTGTGACACTAACAGCGAAAAGACAGAAAGTTAACATTTAAACCAACAGGTACTTGATTGAAGCCAAAAATGAGTTTCATCGCCTTTATTCAGGCACATCCAGCTGGATAGTATCTAATCGAGCTAAGCCCTCAAACCGCTAGCCGAAAACAAGTAATTTAAAACAATCTATCTATATCATGTATGAATAACACTAGCTTATAAATACACCATGATCTATTCAATTTTTATACCATTTTAACCTTAAATCTGTTATGTAAATAACTAAACCTGGGAACAATAAATTTACCATAAAAACAAAATGAAAAATTTTAATGGTTTTATTTGTTAGTGAGAAATTTCCCTCATAGATACAATAAAATACCTAAAATTAAAAACAAAACTTACATTAGTTAGTCCTAATACAAGAATTACATTTTCAGTACCACAGGCAAATAACAAATATAAAGTTTCTAGTCCAATATATATTTGAACTGATAATTGATTTGAAGAAATAAGGCATAATACAACAGAGAGTACAGCAATCGGTAGTACAGTAATGTGAGTTTCGAAATTATAGAAATCATAAGCTAAAAATAAAATGCAAAATAATGAACAAGTGTATTTTGGAGAAAAAAAAAATTGCCTTAATATCAATGAATCATTATGTACTTAATGTAGAAAAGTACAAGTGAATAAAAATGTCATATGAAAGCTATGACAAATTGTTATTCACAATTATGACAGAACTCTTTCCAGAGATACAGTGATAACTTACCCTTATGTTAAGGCAACATATTTACGAAGTATACGTTTATGTATTTAGCTATGAGACGAAACTTCAGTGTAATGGCTGATGATAAAAAAAATACCTTCCCACAAGCGAAAACATGGAGCGAATACGAACGTGTTTGAGTGATTTGATCACTAAGTCACTATGCTCTGTAGTGACTAGTGAAATTATTTTTTTAAAATATATAATGATCATTTGTTCACTACCGACACTTAATAACATTGAATTATCAATAAATTTTTAGAATGTGGAATTCAGCCCATTTATACATCAAGTTACTACGTTTAAAAACTATATCCATCAACGATACTAATGTAAGAAATTATTCAACATTGAAACCCCACTTTTTTGAAGGTATCAACAATCATCTCATGCACTGTTACGAATCGTCAACAAAAGTATTCATTTTTAGATATAAGAATGATCAACAATCAGTGACTTCATAGATTACATTAGTCTATCTATGAACGTCCAAAAAATAATCAATGATAGATAGTAAGAGATTGATCAGTTGCAGTCCTAAACATCGATGGGAAGATTCAAAAAAACAATATAAAATGAGTTTAAACTTCACCCCAATTTACAAGCGAGTGCCTATCTGGACTCAGTATCTAAGTGGATAGTGCGATAGAGTTTGAAGTGAATGGTACTGGATTCGAGTCTCTGATTGTAGAAACATCAGATGCAGGTACATCCATCTGACAAGTCACAAAAAGGACGAAACGCACGTTATGGATTCTACTGCTAACCTCTATCCATCTTTGTTTATAAAGCTTGTGACTTAAGGCAATCCACACAGGATGCATATATGCCAACAAAAGACTGACCAAATGCAGACCTTAACAACAATCGGAAGATACAAGCAAATAACACCAATTGAATTATTACACTTGGCAGTTTAAAAACACTTTGATAAATCTGGTTTATTTGATTGTAATGTATGTTATACAATTATATATATATACCCATCAATTACGACTTGTATATTACTTCCGGTTTTGTCAATATTGTTTTTCTAAAACTATTTATTTCCCTCCTAGTTCACTGATCTATATTTAAACACATTTCTAGGAATTATTATATTTCTCTTGATCATTTGAAACAAATGTATTGTATTGAAAGCTTTGTTCGTTCATACACTCACACACACACATATACATACATACACACATACATACATACAAATAAAGAAAACAGAATTACAGCCATTAACTTAACTAAAATAATGAGATCATGTGTTGAAACAAATTTTATGTATTTATGCAGATTAAGTAGTATAACGTGATAATTATCTTTTTTCTTCATGAAGTCAATGCAAATAAATTATAACCGATAACTAGATAGTAATCAAAATAACTAACAGAAATTCAGGATCATAAATGAAATGAAACTAATAATAAATAAAAATAAATTATGAACTAAAATTTATTGGGGATTATATGGGTTTTATGAAGGGTTTTTTTAGATTATGGTTTATTTATGGGTACAAGGAGGCATTAAACAGATATGTGTCACATAAAACTTATTTGATTTATGTGAGGGCTGGGATACTACCCGGGTGTTCAAACCGAAGCAAGTGGTTTTCATAGGGGACCACGCTCCGAGCCTTTGACATAGAAATCTGATTCACAAAGCAGTGAAGTAACGTAAGGAGATGCAGTCACATGGTAGCTGGTGACAAACAATTGGTTCATACACCATTTATTTTCTTATGATCTTGGAGCCCATGTACATCATTGGTTTGGAATCAGGGTTTTCCAACTCCCCTGGGTGGATCCATCGTATCCACCAATCCGATTAAAGTGCCGGATTTTTGCTTTTCGTCCCCCGATTTCGTAAACAACATCCACGTCACGAGTAGGGAGTGAGTAGGATTTCCCTGGTAGTGGTTGTATGCACGTAGCCACTTGAGAGCATAATGAGAGGGACAGCTGACTCTCCTCACTCTCGGCCGTACCAGGGCATTTGATGTCATCTGAAAATCTACAAAAACTAATAAAATACAAAATAGATATGTTGTCTGAATTTTAAATTCCATAAAAATTGGACAACTAATAATGTTTTAATGGATCCATATCAGAAACATCATTTCATGGTTACGAATCCAGTCGGTTAGTTAGTCAAAGTGAAACCTAACAAATATGTACATCAGTTCATATTGCTGAAGCGTAACATCATTTTAAATATCAAAATCTAGTGTAAAATAAGTTTTGAATCCAGCCACCATATTTTGATCGATTCTTTGTTAAGTCGTTCAAAGTTCTGAACTGATAGTTACGATGATCTGGAAGACCCAAATCACATCGTTTACATCTGCCGACACAGATCAGCCCAACAACCAATCACTTCGTGGACTGACGTCACATTTTAGATGGTTACTTCTAACTCTCATTCAACTTATTCCTACATCGACCAACATCGGTTATCCAGCCTACAGAGAACAGAATCTCCGTAGATCCTTCTCTCATGAAACGAATATTGGCTCACGTAAACTTAGAAACCCCATTATGTACTTTGCAAAAAAATAAGTATTATACAGTTTTCAGTCATTGTTGTCACCTAACGTAAAAACAAGCGGTGTAATTGGTACACATTTCTGATAAGTCTTGTGCTCAATCGTATCTCAAAGAGTTTCTATCAGTGACAAAAGCTGCGTACGAACTAATCCATTTAAACAAAAATGACCTATTTACGGTGTAAAACGAGATAAATCACATGATAGACGAGTTATTCTTATCCTAATGATTATTTTGTACACCATATATTTGTTCTTAGTAATTCCTTTAAATACATTGTACTCATTCACGTAAAGTTAATTATTAGCATTTATCTAGATATATAGTTGAATATATTTTTCGTTTTTCAATGTTTGTCTGATCGTGTCTGTATATTTTGTCTACTGTCTGTTCTTTATATATGTATTAAGTCACTCCTTGAATAAACGATCTGGCTCCAACCATTACCATTTCCTTGAATGGCCGTTTGTTCATATTTGAATTACTAAAATATTATCTTCTAATTAGATTACGTAGTTAGCTATTAAAAATTACCGTTGTTCAAATGGAGATAGCGGTAGCATCAGATACGAAATTAAGTTTGGTGTCTGTATTTCAATAGAGTCAACCAAATGCTACAAACTAATAGTGAAGGGAATATTAGTTCAGCCCACATACCGATCAACTGCTAGCATATATGTTTAACTTACTTAAGCATCCTCCTTGAAATGGGTAGAAACTAATTAATAAACAGTTCAGACATAACGTTCGATAAAAACTTGCATCTGATATCCATTGGGATCGCAGTGAAAACCAGTGAATCCATGGATGAACTTCAAACAGAAAGATTTGTATTCAAGTACACATTTTATAATATGGTAAAATAGAATAAAAAAGTTAATCCTTCGGAGAACTAGTTAAAGTTCCTATTAATCACACTAGTATATTGCAATAGAAAATTAACAAGAGTGGTGACATACATAAGTGACATATGCATCCTGAACCCCCATATTTTGAGAGGACATGTACTTTTTAGTAGCCTCGAAAACAAATAGTTTCACTGACATGAGAAAATAAAGAATCACTGCTTGAGACTGGCCACAAACGATTACTTTGTGAATGGTTATTTTAGCACAGTACGGAATGATGGAATAATTATATTACGATCTACCACACTTGGCATTAGGATTACCTTCTAACTTTTACCAATCAGATGACCATTCTAATAATAATGGTTCATAATGAAAACACTAATGCATACATAGAACATGGTCAAAACAAATAATATGTTACTCAACAGATTCGATGACAACATACTTCATTACTAGTCTGGCCTTGAAAAGTTTTTAGGTAACAAACTCAAGCATATTAATATACATTAGACTTTTTCTATCTGACGTCAGGATTGTGTTGCATCGACACCCGAACTAATGATAGGGAGTGAAGTAGTTGAGCGTGTCGACCGCTTCACTTATCTGGGAAGTCTCATCAGCCCTTGTGATCCGGTATGTGACGAAATATCAGCACGGATACAGAAGGCTCGCCTACCTTTTACCGACTTGTGTCATTTATGGCGTAGGCAAGATATCTGTCTACCAACCAAAGGACGGGTTTAATGCGCAGCAGTTCGTTCTGTCCTACTCTATGGCAGTGAAACATGGCCGGCAAGAGTAGAGGATATTCGTAGGTTACTAGTATTCAATCATAGATGTCTTCGAAACATTGCTCGTATATCCTGGGACCACCGAGTAAGTAATGCAGTTGTTAGGAAACGGGTACTAGGTAAGGATGGCAAATCAATTGACGAAGTAGTGAAACTTAATCAGTTGAGATGGCTGGGACATGTGTTACGCATGCCCAACAACCGATTGCCTCGACGTGCGATGTTTTGTGGTGTAGGAGTAGGTTGGAAGAAAGGTAGGAGCGACCAGACCACAAATTCATGAAGTCACTGACAAGTGGACTGAGACAATGTTGATAGGTGTAAACTACCTGGTTGGGGACCGCGAGATAATAGCAACCAATGGTTAGAGACCCTGGACGATATGGCTCAAAATCGTTTGCAATGGTGCAGGTGCATCCACTCCCAAATTCTAATCTCTTTTTTTCTATTTCCAAATTTATTTCATTGTATTATACTCCTTGAATAACATCTTCAAACCCTAATCTGTCCGATTACTGTTTGTACTCTTATTACATCTACTACTACTTGATTTGAATCGACAATTGCATCTCTGTGCTAATGTGGTATGGCAACTCGAGCTGATGTACGAACGTACGAAGTTCCACGTTGTTACTTACTTACTGACTGACTGACAATAGTCATACAACTGGAAAAACCAGAATTGTGTATGCAAAAGAGACTTCTACCATGATTTTAATGTGTTATAATTTTTTTCTCGCTTCCTTTATACTCTTCTTCCTATGTAGCCATCTGCTTCCCCCGTTCCATCTTCCTCTTAAATCATCTACACCCAACTGATTTATTTTTGTTTCTACGATCCTCCTGATTACATTTAATCTCAAATTCAACATTTTATCTTATCATGCTGAGCCTTGCTTTCTCAAAGATAATTTCCCTATCTATCTTTTCATGCATACTCAAGGCGTTAACAATCAAACGATTATTAAACTTTCCTTGTTTTAAAAAAATTTTTTAATACCTTTGTTTATTTAACCTCACTGTCACCATGTTTAACTGAAGTTTATCATCAGTATTATTTCGACGGAGTTGATCTGAAAAATGTGATGCATTTGCGCTATACATTTCGAACAATCTGGTCACACATTAACTTGACCTTTATTAATTTTTATATAAAATGCCCTGACAAGTATATGTGTGACCAGATTGTTCGAAATGTATAGCGCAAATACATCACTAATTTTCAGATCAACTTCGTTTTCTCATTGTTCTATCGAAATTTATAAAAGGGACGAATTGCTTTAAATCATTATTATTATTATCATCCTGTAAAATAAGTATATATAAGTTTGCGATTGTACAGCTTTGAAAATGAATTCGCCGAAAAAGAACTCTTTTTACTGAACTAATCTTTTTTATTAAATATCAATGGTTTAGGGGTTAAGTGCTTGCGTGTAGGACTGATTGGTCCTAGGTTCGAATCCCGCGAGGCGGGATCTTGGATACTCGATTTTGAGGAGTCCCACAACAGGACGAGTTGGCCATCCATAAAAACCCTTCCTATATAATTTCTTTACTCATTTACATATGTATATAGAAAAAAAGAAAAGTGCAAACCTACTAAGCATATGTTCAGCACACAACATTTCAGCATAAATCTCTTCAATTATTTTAAATAACGAAGGAATTTTTGAATAATCATTATCCATATTATTTATTGCTAATAATTGACGTTTTTTAGAATCAGTTAAATAATGACATATTTTAGGAATTGGATAAACTATACGTTCAATTCTGTTGTCTGCACGTACGATCTAATGTATATGTGAAATCATTGGGGAAAAAAAGTACAAAATGACAGTTGAAATAACATAAGATTACTATGTAGATAGTAGAAAATATGTAAATGATGCTTAATAAAGTCTTTCAAAATTTTAGAAAATCGACTCGATAACTTTATCAGTTTAGGGGTTGTGGAGATTGTTAAGATTGTGATTGAGATCATGAACCGATTGATATTAGACCACCATTGAAAATCTGGAAGCACTGGATGGCCAACTCGTCCGATTGTGGGACTCATTAGCAGTGCGAATCCACGATCCCACCCGCAGGATTCGAACCCAGGGCCATTAGCCGTGACTAGTGGAGCTAATCCGTGTCGGATACAGAAAGGTATCTACATCAGTTCAATGAAAGACGGTCGCTCAACTTCGTGAATTGGTTAAGGTTAGACATTAACACCATTGGATGGTGGCTCAGTGGTCCAGTAGATTAAACGTTAGCGCGTGAGTCTGAAGGCCCTAGGTTTGAATCCCGCGAGCAGGATCGTCGATGACTTTATTACATTAAATTTTGGGGACGACTTAACTCACTTGTAAAGTATTGATTTATGAAATTGGCTACCCGATTGAGGGAAGAAGAATTCAAAATTAAAAAATAGTGGTAGCAAGTCAATAACTCTAAAGTCTAAGCTATCACTACATAAAATATGAGAGATATCGACAAACTTTATGAACTACTGATACCTACCACCTTGAGAATCTTAATCATCAAATTGGTAAAATACCACTTTAATGTCGATTCCTCATTCTTCATCTACGTTATTCAATATTAACATGTTTTGAAATGCCGATGAATGTTATTCTGGTGAATGTTCCAGAATAAGCGTCATTTGATGAATGAAATAAGGTACTAATTACGCCAGTCAACTATTGTTTAGTCTAAATTCACAATAGTTTGCCTATTATCTCAAATAATCAAACATGATGAATAAGGAAATTTGTGTAAAACATAGTTACATTCAGATTTTTTTTTAATTACAAAAGTGCATACGCTAGATCGACTTTTATTCATGTTTCATTATATTAAGCAATCTCCAATGTGTATTCCCTACCACCTCATTCAAAGAAATGTCAGTTATTGTATATATATCAAATCACAAGTCAGTAGCTTTAAATAAAGATGTGCTTTAATGTTATCTCCATTTTCACACTGTCGACGAGCCATATATAGTACACAACTTAATTGTTCTAACCCATATGAACAATGGTTTAAAAATAATAGTCAATGAAACCACGAGTTCATTTGATTTCTGACTTCTTTCAAGTATACACTAGAACAAAGTTCACTGAAACAACATGAATGTAACTTATGGCAATGAATTGAAAGATTGATCAATTCTATAATTATCAGAATGAGAATTCATGAAAACTGTAGCAATTTTTAACAGTTAAATCCATGAGTCAATCTAATTCAGACCTGAGTTCGTGTCCCATATATGGAATCGTAGATGCGTTGTGCTAAGAAGTCTCATACGTGGAAGAAATGGCCGTTCAGTGCTTTTAGATTTACAATGGTGATCTAACTTAGATTGACTCATGAATTCATAGTTGTTATAGTTTTACAACTGTATGTTTTCGTAAACTTTTCCATTGATCGATCAGACAATTAGGATTAAAGTAGTTATATGTATATGTTAAACCTATAATAAAATAAATAGTAAAATTAATTCACATTTATAACAGTTCAAATTAAAAAGAACCAATAAACAACAACAACAACAAAAAAAAAGAACGACTGGTCAATAAAAATAAATAAAATGAAAAAAAAATAAAATAAAAAAGAATTTAATCTTTATCACATACTTCTATTTGTGCTGTATTAATTGTATAATATTGAAGACTTAATATATTATCACTTTTATTCTTAATTAAACGTTTTATAATAGTATTATTTAAATCCAACTTTTTTGTACTGTTATGATCTGTACATTTCATTTTATATAAATAATTTTCCCTTTGTGTAGTAGTATTGTATGAATTGGACTCAGACCATTTTACACTTGAGAATTGATTATTATTATTATTATTATTATTATTATTATTATTATTATTATGATTCTCAGATGTCTTCATATGTTTAAAAATTGTTGGGAAACATCTATATAACTAGTATAATGAATAAGAATAAATACACATGAATTATGCAAGTGCGATTAGTAGAAAATTACAATGATTCTTTAAAGTTTAATACAAATCAAATTCTAGTAATGATGAAATGTAATTCAATATGAAACAATACTATGGTTCATTGTTTTTAGTGTCAGACTATATAGCTTGAATTCGGTATTTCAACATACTAAAGCTGAAATCTAATGATTTTCAAAATGAAATTCAATGGTTATCTGATGTGTCGATGAACGCTTCTCATCACACTTTTCTTTCGACGTGAAAGTAACCTTAAGACTCCTTTTTTTGTTATTACTTATGCATATCCCTTTCTCTTTCTTCTGGTGATCGACTGAATCATGAGGACGTCAACATCTGGGGGAAAGCATAGGATAAAGTGGACAGCTGGGATGCATCTGGACGATTTAGACTCCGCAGATGATCTGGCTCTTCTATCGCACACGCAACAACAAGTGCAGTAGGTTTCAATATACACAAAAAGAAAAGCAAGATTCTCTGACACAACACAACATGCACTAATCAAATCACACTTGACGGAGAAGATTTGAAAGATGTAAAAACCTTTAAATATCTGGGCAGCATCATTGAAGAACACAGTGGATCTGATGCAGATGTGAAGGCACGAATCAGCAAAACAAAAGGAGCATATCTACAATCGAAGAACATCTGGAACTCAAAACAACTATCAACCAACACCAAAGTCAGAGTTTCCAATAGAAATGTCAAGAGAGTTCGACTGTATGAGGTGGAAACTTGGAGAAATACAAAAGCCATCATCCAGAAGATTCAAGTGTTTATTGAAAGTTGTCTACGCAAAATACTTCGGATCCGTTGGTCAGACACTATCAGCAACAATCTACCATGGGAGAGAACAAACCACATCCCAGCGGAAGAAGAACTCAGGAAGAAGCGTGGGAAGCAGATAGGGCACACATTGAGGATAGCACCCATCTGCATTACAAGGTAAGCCCGAGAATGGGCACAGACATGATGAGAATGAACAACAACTGGATAGAACTGGAAAGGAATGCCCAGGACAGAGTGGGTTGGAGAATGCTGATCCACGGCTTATACTCCAATGGGACTAACAGACGTAAGTAAGTAAGTATGCATAACACGTCTTAAGAATGATCCAGTGGATTTCGATTAAAGGGATCCATGGGTTCGATTCCATGTACGATCATGGATATGCATAGGTGATAAGTACAAAGTAAGTAAAAAAAACATGTTTTCTACGCTGGACGTTTTATTAAATGAGATTAGTTTTCAATAAAAACGATGCCTACATTGTTAATGACTTTTATAGCACCTGTACAGATAAAGTAACTAGACTTGACTACAGTGGATTCTCATACTATTTTTTTTTTTTTTCATTTTGTTTTACAAGACATGAATGTCGAAAATTGTCTTAAGGTAATGCTTTTCATATATAATAAGAGAAAATCTATTGACTTTTGTAATAATACAATTTTAACATCTTCCCGATAACCAATTCACATTCATTCCATTATTTACTTCATTATGTTTACCATACCATAGAAGAACAAAATTCTTAATAAAAGAACTTTTACCCCCCCCCCAAAAAAAAACAACAAATACTTACATATTGTGTCAATATAAATAATAAATGTCCGCATTTATCAAATGATTCACGTGGATGATTCGTTGTAAAATCTGAATCCACTGACAAGATATAATAATAATGAATTGTACTTATCTATAATAAATATTTTTAAAAAAAAAAGGTGTATTACAAGCTTTAAACTGCTTACTGAATATTACAATGAAATCAATCCAATAAAGAAATATAAGATAAATAAATTATAGCAATAACATAGATCATAGATCTTCAATTGTATGTCAATATTTTGAAAACATGTTCATTTTTTTTATTGTACTGTCTTTTGTTAATCTTCAATACAACGACCTACATATTAAAAACTCCATACTGACATCCTTGAATAATTACCTATTCCATACTTTCGTATATAATTGTCTCTTATAAAGTTATTCTGTAACCTGGAAGGCCAAAGAACACACTGAGTCGAGAATTGGAAGCAAACATGAAAAGGATGAATAGCAAATGGAAATCACTGGAAGGGATTGTCCAGGATAGAGTTGAATGAAGAATTCCGGCGGTTGGTCAAAAAACACATCATACTCACTTTATTGGAATGTTATACAATCAAAGTCGGAAACTTTTCTCCTAACCATTGCGTACAAAATGGATAAGGAGTTTACACAAAAAATGCTGATTTAAATAATTTTAAAAATCTTCTTGAAGAAACATACTCATACACAAAATAAAATATGAAAGACATTACTAGCTCTCAAGGTATCTCTATTCCTATATACACATCATAATGAAAATTTACTGAACAACAATCTACAAGACTAACTAATAAAAGCCGTTATAAGTTGTCTTCAGTCAGTCAGTCAGTCTTTGTTTCACTTTCTTTAATCGATCAATAATGACCACTCATAGAAAGAATATGTTATATGATCTCAGTGGATGTTCATTAATCCATTTACTACTTTGACAATAATTAGGCCAAGTATCCTACCAGAAAAGTGATCTAACTCTCTATCTCTTCTCTTTACAATCATTGAAATTATATAAATTTTAATAATTAAGAATTCAACAAGTTAATTTCTAAACGTTTTAACTTATTTACAGTATTAGAATACATTTGTAATTTATCAAACTATTTTTATTATCCCCATGCTATTTCATATTTATTCACCATTAATCTGATGATTTATTTAATTTCAATCATTAACTCCGCCTGGAGTCCCTCCGGGGGCTAATGCCGGTCCCAAGCCCGGTTAAAGGAGGAGGGTTGTGCATGGGATTAGCGACCCCATCCTGTAGAAAACTAACTCGCTAAAAAACGCTAACCATTACCTCATGTAATAGAATAATGCTTTAATAGGGTTTGATTAGAAATCGGAATTTTGCTTACATATTCTTCTTTTTAAAACAAACTATGTGCATATAAAATATAAATGTTCCTCAAAAAAAAAAAAAAACAGTACTCAAACTTAAGAGTTTAAAGAACTTACTAACTTATCTAATGGACAGAGTTCAATTAGTTGTTGATAAACCTTATCTTCATGGCGGCCTTCCAACACAGCTAACAGTAGCTTAATTGACAAACACTAAATAAACAAAATGACACAGAGTATAATTTTTATTAATCACAACGAACAATGAAAGTAAATTAATAGCACATTAGGAAATATTCCTTTGATTACCAAAGTTTGAATTCTTTCTTCTAATGTTCAATAATAGGAAATTAACTAGAATTAAACAAAAATCACTATTTACTAGGATATATTTAAACTGTGGATCACTGGTTAAATCACTACTTCCAATTACAAAGTGAGGTTTGTGATACACACTAACTACATACATTTAAGTACTCTGGTATCTCTCACGTAAATGAGTTAAAAGGTAGTCCCAGGTTTTAATCCAATAGGTAATATTTGTGACCTCCTGACTAAAGCTATGACTTGCTAATGAGTACGAACTAACATGTGTTTTTTGTCGAGAACATCTAACTACTTAGCAAATCCAAACCAAGTCAATTCCACTAACCTAAAATGCATTAAATATTTGCTTTGTATTACATACAGCCAAAACACATTTATACAATGAAACAAGCCAATCTCTTCATGTTAGTTTCACTTATTAAAATAAAGACAAGCTATTCGCTTACAACATATCATGATTCCATGAAAACTGTCAATTTTTCACAATCTTTGTCATTTGTTAGCTGAATTTAACTGCATATAAGTGTCGTTGTTCGCATTAAAACTCGAACTTCATGCTTTTCACTTCAAACACCTGAGTATTATCCACTGAACTATCAAGTTCAAATGATTATTATTATCTTGTTCAATCAGTACAATACTTATATTCAAACTCTAAATAACAATGATATGTAACCAGAATGTTTGAAATTCAAGAATCTAAACAAATGACCAAACAAACATTAACAACAAAAACAACTTACACTAATTTCAGCTAGTGAACATGTTATATCTTTGAGTTTATGATTTCTAATCCATTTCGGTGTAGTCAATACTAAATTTACTAGTATGCATAAAATATTTGGACTTCCGAATAAAATATCATTTTGATTATTTAAACAAGGACCTTGACAAAATTCAATTAGACAAGTCAAAATAAGTATTATAATTTCAGGTTGAATAAAATGTATTGAGTTATTATTATTATGATGATTATGATTATTATTTTTCTGAATTTGTACATTTTGTTGATTGTGATTCATTTCATGGAATAATGATTTATTAAATTTTCTCTGATTTATCATTGTTGGCTCCATAATGTTCATATTATTCTGTACAATTTTCAATGTGCTATTTTCAGTACTATTGAAACATTGATGTTTACTTTGTGGTGTTTTATGATTAACATCAGAATAGTTCAGTGTATTATTATTATTATCATTACTATGAGTGTTGTCGTTGTTACTGTCAGAGATAGCAGCATTAATTAGCTTATCATTTATTTTCCACAAATTAATAAATAACGACTTGATTTCTTCAATTAAATTAAAATTTGTCACATTATGTGGTTGAACACGTAAAAGTTCCTAATTAGATTGAAAAGAGAAATAATTATTGTTTAAATATTTTATAGAATGAAGTTACTCAAAATATACAATTAAGTAGTTATGTTTAAGTGATGTTCATGTAATAAACAACCTTCATTTCCATTTGTAAAATCTCAGTGAAAGAATTTGAAGTAAATCCACCATTTCGCGAGGCAATCTGGTCTAAGCTTTTTCAAGGAAAATATAATCAAACAACAAAATTATCGAATATAAATAGGTACATGGTTCTCTGATTTACTGTATACTGAATAAGTCATCCAATCAAATTCTTTCGCTGAGATTTTACAAATACATTCTTCTTCTTTAATGTCTCACATTAACTCGGCGCCCAAATATTGTGAAACTACTCGTTCAAATTTAACCTTCACTTCCGATCGAGATCTTACACAAATGTTGAGAATGATATCACTAAAACAATACATAGCTCCATTATATCACACTTGATCGATAACGATCACGCAGTAGATAAAAATAAGTGAATTACCGTATTCCTACTAGTTTTCTTTATGGAGTTTGATCTCATCTTTCACATATACCAGAAGCTACAATAATTCAAGCTAACAATCTAAGTCTTTGCACTAATAAGAAATTTGTAACACGTTTATCTCTTCCTTGGTCGAATTAGCCTTAATAAACTATTTTATTTAGAACACAATTATAATTTCTCATCAGGTTCTACAATTATATATCCCAATTATTTGTTCGTAAAATTGGTCAGGTTTTAGGCAGAATAAATCATTTAAAATTATAACATGGGAATTAAATATTGTTTGTAGTATAAAATCAAATCAGAATGAGGGTGTGTGGAAATTGTAGTAATTTGATAGTTAAATTCATGAGTAGATCTAAGCTAGACCACCACTGAAAATCTGAAAGCACTGAATGGCCGTTTCGTCCTAGTATGGAACTATCCAACAGTGCTCATCCACAATCCCGTATGCGAGACTTGAACCTAAAACCTTCGGTCTCGCTCACGAACGCTTAAACTTTAGACCACTGAGCCGAAATTCAACAGTGTTAATGTATAACTTCAACCAATCCACGATATTATCCGACCGTGCACTGCTAAGGAGTCTCATACTAGGATGAAACGGCTATCTAGTGCTTCCACGTTTTCAATGGTATCCTAGCTTTAATTGACTCATGGGTTCAACTATTAAATACTCTCTTCGTTTGTTTATTATTCTTCACCTTCTTTTCTTTTCTTTTTTAAAATGTACGCTTCACTTGCCAACTACTCCTTATTACGTAATCCTATAATTTTTTTATGAATTTTATTTGAGTGACTACATAATTTTCAAGTCACTGACCTATCTCCTATTATGAAACATTATATCCAACCTTTATAATTCTTATCACAACTAGTACACTCGACATCCTACTATCAATTTGTACTTTTCACTTATTATGTTTATTTATGTAATCTATTCCACTGTTATCATCATTGACTCATATACTGCTTTGATTGGTTTTAATAATTTCATAAATATATTACTATATATTAGAGTAAAGCTTAATGAAGATTTAATTGAAAACATTATTGTATTGTTCTATTTCATAATATGAGAATTTTGATACAAATCAAATAGTAAATTAAATAGTTATAAAAATTACCTGAAGTCTTAAATTGCTTCTACAACATAAAGTTTGTAAAAATTGTAAACTTATCTGTACTGATATATTTTTGCCAGTTATTAATGAATTGAAACAATCTAAAATAAACAAAAGCTCAATAATGAATAACTTAAAATCATTTATGAATGATTACGTAATATGTTTTGTCTTGATATGAATTGATTTTTGGATACATATATTTTGTGTATGGAGCGAATAGAATAGAGTGAAGAGAAATGACGCCCAGTGGAGATAGAGGATAAGCCAACTCCCATTTAGTCAAGCGTTAATCAATATTTATAGTTACACAAAAATAGGTTACAGACATGTGATGAACAATGGGATAAGAAGTGTACACACACCTACACGCTCATATAAAGGCAGTCAAGATTGATAAGCGAATAATTAACAAGGTTAGAATGTGACTCAAGTAGAATGAGTAGATTGGGCTGTCCGAAAGCTAGAATAAGGGATATGGAGTTAACATAATAACCGACAATACACCCTCCCTGCGGGATTCGAACCCAGGACCTACCAGTCTCGCGCGCGAACGTTTAAACACTTATCCAAACGGCATCCAACGTTGTTAATGTCTAACTTCAACTAATCCACGAAATCGAACGACACATCCACCATTATCATCAGTGAGTTACCATCTCACAATTGACTCTGTTGGTTAGTTAGTTCCTTAAATTCTTAGTTTTCTTGAAGTTTCCAGAATCATTCAAAATGAGAAGTAACAAGAAACATCAGTTATATGTAGAGCTTATATTCTTGATATGCCACGTATAACTTGAGCACTTGAACGCCAGAACCCTTCTAAGTCGCAAATGAGAAGACAGAAGACAAGTGAAAGGAATATTATTCCAGATTATAGTACAAAACTGTCAGATATTTATAGTTTTTAGTAAAAGCAAAATCATCATTATAGCTATCTAATCCTCACACAGGGGGTTATTAGCATTGTCCGATCGGGAAGTTACATGTAGAGATTCTAGAATATTCTTCCAAAAGGTGATTCAATGGGATATCTTCGACTATTTCTGAGCTTCTTACAGCTTCCTCGTGTTTACCCGTGGACCGTCCTCACAACCAACACCACTGTTTTCATCTTTAGCTTCTAGATAAAACTATATTACATACTCAGAAAAATTAGTAGCATCAACAACTAAAATGTAAGTAATATAATTTGAATAAAGTCAAGGAAAAATATTTTTAAAAATGCGTATTTTTACTTGGGAACAAAATTTCATTCACCATTAAAATTAATAATATCAAACTAACCTAAATAATTTGTAGTTTTTGTAAATTCTTCTTTACAAAAGAATCTGTTTTTTGTTAAATTATCCATTTGACTATAAGCATTATGAAAACGTTGAAACATAGAATTGAAGAAATCTTCATGTTGTTTAGGCTTTGACAGAATAATGTAGAAACATTCCTATATTAAAATAATATAGGTACTAAACAGTTATTTATGAATCAAGCTTCTATATAATTTGATGAGAAGAAAGTCAACTCTTATTCAAGTACATATTTGTGTATTCAGTTTCGAACTAACCTTATGTTGTAGCGAACACGAACACCAATGGGGACAATCGAATGTATTTGACAAAAATTACAGAACTACTTAGTAAAATCTAACAACCATATATTAGATGCTCAATTTGCAAAATGTCCATCAATTGTCTCAAATAACTCAGGCTTCCTTTGTTCTTGCATTTTCACACAAACTGCATGCTGTCTTCATTCTTTACTGTTCGGTCTTCTTGTCTCTCTACTGCCAGACATTCTGCTCACGACAAACATCATATACCACTTATGTCCGATTTAACTCATACAATTTGTTTATGAGTTGCCCAGACTGGAATGCATAGAGCTGAGGTTCAAACATTTTATCTATCAATTCCAAACACAGTTGATTACTCACCAAATCACTGCTACACAATAACAATCTTTATACAACTTAATCTTTGCGAAAATAAGATGAATCTAAAGATACTTTTCATTAGTCGGAAAACTTTCAGAAGCCATAAAATGCCAGGTAAGTATATTATTCTAGTTTCTAAATACCTCGGTAAGAAACATGTTTTATTTTTACATGGAATCAAATTCTGCTGCATGTCAAATCTCAATTGCTGACTTGAAATGAATAGTCTATGCTGATCAATAGTGGAATATATAAGTTCCGGTCCCTATTTTAGATTTCTTAGATTTTTCAAAAAAGAATCTGAAATTTCAATGAGAGAGATTTCACGCGAATTTCTTCAATAATCTGATGTAGTCAGAGCGATTAAGATTTGTCACAAATACTTTATTTTTCAGATAAGATACTTAGCTACAATAACATATTTCAGCTTATAAAACGTATCATTTACTTTACACAATTGATGAAGTGTAATCAAATACAAATCTCTTATTTACTAGCTAACCAGTTAATGGGAAATGGAGAACCGAATTGAAGTCAAGTATCACATATTAGTAGATCAATCAAGAACACTACTGTTCAGGCACCTCCAGCCGACGAGTTAAAATAAAGATGAAATGCGCTACTTGAATTTCACTAGTACATACAAATCAAATAGAATGAAAACTTGTAGTTGAAAAAAAAATAGAGATAGGTTTGCTAAGAGAGATTGATCAGTTATAATTCCTACTAGTAATATCTGAGAGAAAATTCAAATCCTTACCAATAAACAAAATTAATGGCATTCAATTTGAAAAAAAGTTTACATCATGGATTGACGTTCTGCTAAACATTCAGGAAAGCTGTGATGGACTGAGTCATAATATTTTAGGGGTGAAACAATTATTAACCATGAAATGGAATAATGATAGATGAATATCTCGAACTGTGATTGAAAATGTGATGTAATGGGTACTAACTACGTCATTTAGATGTGTCAAAAAACTGAGAGACTTTGGTTTAACCTATGTCTTGGTCACCAGTAAGTTCTGACAAGGAGGACCATAGTAAAATAAACCAACTGTTCAATAGTCTTCTGTTTCCAATGTTTGTTTACCTGAAGTCAGTCTGTGACGTGAACCGTCTTCACTATCAACATTGAAATACAGATAGTTGGTTTACTCAGAATATGGATATTATGAGAAATGTATTGTTTGAAGTAATGAATGTCGTATGTCACATGACTTTACTAAATGTAACTGACAGATATTTTAACCGGCACGGTATTTTTTTAGCTAAACGGTTATCAGAACAATGAAATGTGATCATTCTTGATAGTTGGCTTTCACTTATTTCCACAACTGTTTGCACATAACCAATAATAAATTACCTGTACATATTTATTGCTGTGCTTTAAAAGGTTAATCGCCAACTCATTTGCCATGACAAAAATCGTTTCAGAAGTATTAGGATTTTCTATACATCGTATAATTAGATCGCAAATTCCATTTGAACATAAAAAATAATGTATGGCATTTTGACCAGTATTCGATAATCCATCCAAACTCCATTTCATTTCTAATGGTATAGACTGAATGGTATACGAGGTAAAAAAAATGTATTTCAGTTAAAAAGAGATTTCGAAACAAAAATCAAAACCATAACATCAGTTTCGCGACTAAAATTTTGAAATGATTGCTAGTTGACAAAAACCGGAGTTAATTTGGTACTAGGTAGTTGAACTAAAATACCAAATGATCGGGAATATGAGTTTCATGTTACCGAGCATTTGATGTCAAAGCATTTCTATAGTATTGAGTGAATGAATTCGCACCGTAAGATTCTAACCAACGTCACGCTTTGTAGTAGTCTAAGAAGTTGCTATTACATAAATAAGGCTCCGACTAATGTCCCTTAGAACTCAAATGTTTACACTAATTGACCACAACAAGCAATCAGTGTCATGTTCATGTATTACTTAATCCCGATCGACAAATTTCTATAAGTATTATTAATATTATATTATTATTTGTATTTTTTTTAAGAGTATTTGACCATAAATCCACAATCGAAACAATGCTTTCTCTTTGATAATATTTAAGAAGCATTTTCGAAAAGTCGAAAATCTTTGGAACTATTACCATACAGTATTCATCCTAGGAGTTACAAAAATATATTTAAGATACATGGTTGGATAAGACATGTAAATATCTTTGCTTTAACCTCTTTTCAACAATCAGATTTTATTACTTACCAAGTTCACTCCTTAAAGACATGTTGTATCTTGAATGATGGACTTAACAGTTGGTGTATCTATGTAAATAAGTATTGATGAAGTTAATAGAGCTTTTAGATTCAAGAAGAAGAAGGAGTTTATGGAGTTTAGATAAATTGAAAGAATATTCATTTAACATTAGTAAGCATTACTCTATTTCCTCTCTTATCGAAGATGAACCATTGAAAAACTCAGTAAATTATAAATTTACAAAATCCATAATTTTGTCAACTACTAATCTAGATCACATTTCAAATTTCTATTAAAAGGTGGTAAAAATTAAAAGCATATAAACAAAGCAGTCTTATAAAGCTGTTTCTACATAACAGACAAATAAAAAATAGAACAACAAGCGTTCAAAAAAAAAGAAAAAGAAATTAAAAGATGTTTATTTATATTTGTTACCTACCTCTATCATAGGTGCTTTAGATAAGGAAGTGAAAACTTGTAAAAGCTTGACGAATTGACTTTCGAAACCTAATTCAATTAAATCATATGCATGTTGAACTAATCTGAAAAAGTAAAGAAAAAAGAATTCAGACTAAAAGTACTATAAAGGTTGTTTTATTTCTAGTCTTAGACTCCTCTCAGTCCACAATTACAACTTCATAAAACTTCAAACTTAATACCTACAAGTCTGACTTCTAGATCAGTGATTTGGTACATCATGATTCATATTTTGAACTTCAACAGCTTTGAGATACAATATGATGACTAGACATTACCATAAATAATATCTCTACTCGACAGATGAAACGCGCTCTCATATTAAAATGTCGAGAAATTCAACTTTTAGTTTGTCATTCGTATAATCAGTGATTGTTACATATCGAGATGTGGACATTTGTGAACATATTTTAAACCTCAAGTTAGTTTATCTAATGAACTAACATTATCTGGAGAATCACTGAAAACCAGTGTGAGCTAAGGAGCTGTTGAACAAATAAAAACAATGAAACTTAACTAAAAAAAAAAACCTTAAAAACGGGATACTAATTATATCTTGTTCGGAATTTACTATAACACAAGGTCGCTTAACATTACTAAGCTGACATCTGGAAAAAGTTGTGTAACTTGAGCATCATAAAGAAAAACGAAAAATGAATACAGTATAGAGGATAAATGATGTAAGAGGAAAAGATGAAATTAGAATTTGATGGAGTATTCAATACTGAGAAATATCATATGTATCACACAGTAAATGACCAAAGAAATTTTCTATGATTACATAACTAAGAAACGGTGTTTCAATAGCTATTGAACCGATTTCAATTCAGAACGAAAAGGCACCTAAACATAAGTTATTTGATTCTCAATTACTAAATTCTAATTGAATTTCCAAACGTCTTCGTTGCATAGTGTAAACTGTAGTTTGTTTGTTTTTTCTTATGAAGGGGTGAAGTAATTGTCAAAAGTCAGGTATTTTGTAAAAATTATATGGTGATATTTTGGTGCAATACATTTCGAACAATCTGATCACGCATTATATACTTGTTAAGAACATTTACGTATGAAAATTAAAAGGTCAACAAGACAGGTTAAAGATAAGTCGTAACAAAGAGATAATAATATTAAAGTACACATAAACAATGTGATTACCACTCTCAATAATAAATCACAATTACCAAAGTGGGTTAAGGGTAAGGATAAATTGTTTTTGCACACATATAGGGGGTTTCGATTTCCGTATATCCAAGGCTTCAATAAACCTTGAAGGCTTTTGTATAACACTACAAATGCAGATTCGATGTCGACCTTATGACCAGTCTTAATCAAATGTTTCGCAATGGAGGATGATGTCAGTCTATCCTGTGATCTTATTTGACCATTGGAATCCATTTGTTTCTGCAACCATTTTGGTACGTGTTCACCCACCCTTAATTGCAAATCACGATTGCTACTCCCTAAGTACGTGTTTCCACACATACATGTAAATTGATAGACACAATGGGATGTGAAACAATCGCTTTCGTGCTGTTTGGGCTTTTGGTGAAACATAGACCTTGTCTTTTCGATAATGACAAGTTGGGCTGCATAAAATGTCCGGTTGATAGGTAATTTAATTCTCCGTTTCAACATGAGACAATTTGTGTCATCTCTGAATGGTAACGTAATATAAACTTGCTATTTGAGTGCTAGAAGCGTTACAGGTCTAGTCGTATTGCAGAGGTTTATCAACTTCAAAGAATAACTATTATTCATTAACGTATTAGTTAAGAGCTTTACTTCTTTACTTCAATAGTAATAATTTCTTTCTTTTTGGTATGCATGAAATTGCATACATTGGAAGTAAAAGAGCTAACAAGTGATTACTTCTATGAACACATTGAAATAGTTATGTAACTTCAAAATAACAATAAAACAATATTAGTTTATACATAAAGCTAGAAATAATTGTATTTTAAATAAAATATTAACATACGAAGCTATAAAGGCATTATATGAGAAATTATCACTTTTAACTAATGTTGATATTTCTTGTAATTCAATGAAATTCATTGGATATTGTAGAAATCGTATCAATGAATCATATTCTTTATAAATGGATGTACTAAGTTGAAGTTCAATTTCTTTAATCATATTCTATAAGTTAGAAAAAGGAATGAATATCTTAAAATTATACTTTCAAGATACAAAGAAAAGTGTTAAAGTGGAACAAATGTAAGCACATGATGTTTAACGAACCATTGAATGATATGTTGTATCAAAGTAACTGGTAAAGTTAAATCATGTTATCCGTAAATTAGGTGTAGATAATGATAAAACAATTTTGTGAATCAAATTGAAAATAGAAACTTTTATATACTGACTCTGTTGTCTAATGGTAATGAACCTACTGTGAAGTCTGGTGGTATTAGGTTTGATCTTTGGAGAAGTTCTGGAAGGGGCAATGTTAACAAGTTCTTAATGAAGATATATTTATTTATTTATTTATTTGAACATATAAATATTGGTACAAAGGGGAACCGAATACATATGCGCTACACAAGTTACTTGATTTGCGAATGGACTATGCTACTGCCTGGGTGCCTAGACCGAAGCAGATGGTTTACTTAGCGGGCAACAACCAGAGTCTTCGACCTAAGGATTTGATCCACAAGGCAGCGGAGCAACGTTAGGAGATGCAGTCCCATGGTAGCCGGTGTCCAACAATATGTTCACACGCCATTTGTTCCTTTTGGATCCTGGAGCCCATGTGCATATTGGTTTAGAATGATGGTGTTCCAACTCCCCTAGGTGAATCCTCTATATCCACCGACCCGGTTAAAGCGCTGGACATTTGCTTTTTGTCCTCGTAATGTCGTAAGCAACACCCCCAGCTCGAGAAGAAAGTGAGTAGGACTTCCGTCGGAGTGGCTGTATACGCGTGTCTACGTGGGAGCATTTTGACAGGAAGAGGACTCTCTCCACTCTAGGCCGTACCGGGACACTTAGGGGATATAACGATTCCTCAACGATTCTCGGTTTTAATTTCCGTTCGGTCAATATCAATTCACGATTAAAAAATGTCTTCACAGTTCAAAAGTGTTTTATATAAAATTCTGACTTGTTATTCCTGATTGTTATATGTTAAAATTAATAACGAAAGTTCGATGAGCTCCGACCATGAAGAAACATACTGTATGTTTATAAGGTTATGAATGAATACAACAATTGTTTTGTGCCTCTTTAATTCACAATTTTAATTGTTAATGATTCAAGAAAATCATACAACAATGAGGAACAAACTTTCCCATTAAAATGCAGTAAATCATATTGATAGGAACAAATTATCAGTAATTTGAAGATTGTTAAAGACCTTCTAACTCCCAGGTCAGAGTTTAAATGGTTTGAATTATTTTTTCTGATTAGCGTTTTTTTAGCAAGTTAGTTTTCTAAGGGATGGGGTTGCTAACTCAATGTGCAACCCTCCTCCATTATTTGGGCTTGGGACTGGCAGTAGCTATTCGATAATCGGATGTCAATAAAAATTTAAAAATCTATATACTGTTATAAGATAAATTCGGGAAACTATAAATTACAAAGAAGTATTATTTTATTTAATTTACTTACATTGAACTGCTTTTCTATATTCTTTGCAAAGTTTTGAGATATTGATCGATCTGTATCATCCATAGTTTGACTCATTTGAACTTCACACACACTCTTACTCATATGACATTTTTGGACGGTTTTAACATTAACTATTTCAGACATATTTGAATCGAGTGAATATTCATCCTGTAATCCACTATCTATCGAGTCATCAGATGTAATATTACATGTGGAAATGATTTTGTCTTCAAGTGTTTTACATAAATCTGTATAAGAATTTGTCATAAAAATATCCGATTTGTAGGAGAATTCTGGCGAAACTGGAAGACTTGCTGAAGGAACTGAAATTTTTTTGAATAAAAAAAATCATTCTTATCAAAGTGAGTAAAGTAATGAAACTGGGTTGATTGTGTATTGTGCAAAATAATGGTTAAAAATGATATGATTTCCAATTTCCAACTAGTGATGTTGTGTAGATGGTTAATGTAGACTTTTGAATAATGTCTTTATTATTATTTATATTTCTCACGCCTTTATTTAATTTGTATAATCACTGGCTATAAACTGTTGATTAAATGTCTAAATCTTGTACACTATGTTCAGTTCACACTGATTATCGTTCTTTAAATACACGTGCTACATATACACTACATCTTGTTCTTAGTCAAGTGGCTGCCACATTAACAGGTTTTCAATAAACCTGTTACGTACATTTAAAGATAATGACTCTCTACTCTACCTGGGTCAATCATAACCTATTATCTTTGACTATATTCCATATTTTGAACTTCATATGGGACCTATTTGGCAAGCAACCATTGACTGTTTAAAATTAACTCACGTAAAACATATATATGCATATTTTTCGTATATTAGTATATCAAGGCTTGTAAAGAATGTTAAATTTCTCACAATCTAAATCATGAAATAATCTTAGCTAGACTATCGTTAGAAACCTAAAAGCACTGTATACCTATTTTGTTCTGGTATAGAGCTGTTGATAAGTGCATGTCCGCATTCCCATCACAGAAGATAGGACTCGTAACCTCTGACCTCATACGCGAACATTTGTACGTTTTCTATTGAATAACAACACTAGTGTTTAAATATTTACATTTTGGTCTACTACAGAATATACTGATATACAATTCAAGATTACAGAAGTTACTATAAGTTTTACATATCTTTTGGTGTACTCAATATGTAATGCCCACTTATTTGACAAAATCAGTTGATAGTTACACTATAGTGAAAATCATAGTTTACTAGTGAGAAAATTACATTAACCTTCTTCCCTTGACCATTTCTTCTTCTTTTTATCCCCTCCCAGATATCTTTCACCTTTTTATTTGTAACTTATAGCGCTATAAAATAATATAACATTAATTGTTTGGCCAATGAACTTCGGATACAACTTAAAATTAAACTATAAAACATAAAAATTTTCTAATTCTATAAATCTTACAAACTTGTGAAAGTTTTCCGTCCTCAGTAGTTTTTAAATACTCACATATCATAACTTCGATAACCTTCTGAAGTGTACAGTGTATTTTGCCAAACAGAAACTTAAATAATTCTAAGGTATTTAGATGTTTGAGTTCAGAGAAACACAAAATATTAGTAAAAATAAGTCACCGAGATTATTAATTTGATTCAATTTAAATTTCAATGATTAAGATCATGAGTCAGTTGAAGTTAGACCGCCATGGAAAACGTGGAAGCACTGGACGGCTGTTTCGTCCTATTGTGGGACTCCAATCATGCATATGGTAATATAAAAGGCTTTTAACTATAAAATTTTAAAACTATTATATGAACGAAGAATATTTTTTTCAATGAATTTCTCATCAGGTACTCTACAATTATCTCATATATCCAAATTAATAATCCATAAAATTAGCCAGATTTAAGGCAGAATACATCATTTGGAAATTGTAATATGTAAATCAAGGATTGTTGTTTGTCATACAAAATCAAATCAGTTTGTTAATGTTGGAGCTGATCAATATGAAGTTGTTGACTTGAATCAGTTTATAAGTGAAATGAAATTGTGAGATAAATAATGGTCACAATAAATATGGTCAACATGAGGTGAGAGAGAATAATAGAATAAAAATCAGAAATTACGTTATACGTAGAATAATATGAATTAGGTCAGATATAGTAGATTTAGGGGTGGATACTGAATAAATATCTCAAAACGGTTATCAAGTGTAATAATAATAACAATGATAATAATCATAGTAATAATAATAATAATAAATTTGGGACATAAAAATGAACATCAATCAAATTACGTCACAATGTTATGAAATTGATTATTAAATAGTTGGCCTCGAAGTTGGCCAGGGTAAAAGGAGTGACTGAATGTATTTCTTTTGGATGCAAAGCTCTGGCTTTTTGATCCGAATAGCAATTGCTTCACTGATCTGCAGGATTGTTAGTCTGACAGAATTATGTAGACTGTTGTTAAAATGATATATTATTGCGAAAGATTTCTCCATGTTGGCTGTATGTTCCGTCTGAATTAAATGCGTTATAACTGAGCTTTTAACCGTTTTGACTACATTTTTGCTTAACCACACTGGGAGGTGCCCAGGAGCTTGAATGTACAAATTCCTAGAGAATCTACCAATATAACTTGCTACACAGTAACAGTAACAGAAAGAGGTAGTTAGTCTAGGTAATTTATCTTCCAACCTCGGAGTGATTATTGGACGTATGGAAAACATTAGTTGTAGTTTACCTACATTAAAAGTCCTTTGAATTGTTCTGTTTAACTTCATTCGTAGCATTTCACTCGATAATTTTAATCGTATATACAGACGCTTTTTATTCACAACTAACTAATTAGTTCTGTTCATTCCAAGACTGGTACATACAAATTAAACTAAGCATAAACAAAATACATGCTAAAACATTTATACAGATTCTTTTCATTCCCACTTAAAATTAACTTGAAATTAAGATGAGTTCTTATCCAACTATCACAATACACATTAAGGGTTTAATAAATTATATATATATATATATGCAATTTTCTAAAATATTTTTAGAAGCAAAACAAAATAGTAATATTCTCTATGATTATCGTAAAAGAATTTGAACTCATAGGTTACAAATACAATTCACAGACATCTAATACAATGAACAATCATAATGATAAGTGAATGTTACAAAATATATCGTTATCAAGAGACTTTATACGTAAATATATACATAACTCACTTGTACGCATTATCATTTGTGAACAATCCATTGAAGCTGGACCTAATAATGAATCATTGTTCATTTGCATTAGTTTATGCATTAAATAACGACTTGCATCTAGATGAAACTAAATGATGAATTATAAATAATAATAAAAAAAATCTGTCAATTATGTACTAGTTCTATATTGATACATCAATAAATATGATGAAATGATAATGATATAAATATTTCCTATACATTTAGAAGTAAATCAAACAGTGACAGCATACAATCCATTTAATAAAGGTTATATTAATATAAGAATGTCAGTATCTTTAGCATGAATATATTTTAAAATGAAACATCACAACTTTGTGAAATCTCATACAATTGACAGAAAACACGACAAGTTCTAATTTACTACGTTTTTCTATAGAAATAAAAACTGTTTATTAGCTTGTTTCAGATGAAATACTTGAAACACTGAACAGATTATAAAAAGTAGTTCTTACACAAAAGAAAATATTTCCATAAGGTTTTTTGAAGATCATTCACCGTAATTTATCGTAATAATGGATAAAATATTATCAGATTATCGATATCCAGAACAGAATTTCGATCGGCTTTTGTTGACATATGCTTGTTCAATGTTCATTGCTTCCATTTAACCACTTTGTTACAAGTTATTTTATACAGAATATATGGATTACGTGTATCGTTCTATTCAGGGCTTGCCACATTAATGTTGACACCGTACGTTTTTGCTTTATTTTGACAAACAGTGAAATTATGAACTGACGAAAATAACTACTTAACATACATACTCGATAAAACTTGATAATAAACGTGTTATATAACGCTCAGTTTTACTCCGTCTAATGTTATAACGATTGGTGATTCGCGTTTACACATATGGGACGTTAATTTAACTTAGACGAATATCTACACTGCATTCCCTCCCAGTGTCTATTCTACAGGAATTCAACACAACTCAGATCAAGAACACGTGATTAGCCTGATTACAACGTAAATATATATCCACATCAAAACCCCACATAATCAAACAACAATGAACAATCAATAATAAGTGAGTAACAATAACAACAAGGATAAGGAAATATATAACTCATCTGACACCTATCAGACTATATACATGTCTGACTAAACAGACAACTAATCATTATCATTCTCGCCCACACATCAAAACTTAAAGCTAACAAATTGGTATGACACTAACATTAAAAATTTAATTGAGATCATGAACGGATCAATGTTAGATCACCATTGAAAATCTGGATGTACCGGATAATCAATACTGATGAGTCTTATACTAGAACGAAACGTCAACTCAATACTTCCAGGTTTTAAATCGTGGTCAAACACTTATTGGCTCATGATCACAAATAAAACTCAACAATAAAACTCCTTAACCTTATACTAATAGAGCATTTAATTTAATTGTAATTCATGAAATTATAGTTAAATTATCTCCGTCTTAATCTTACCTGTGGTTGTTGATGTTCCAATAACTGAATATTGGCAAAAATCTTCGTAACACATGGGATAATAGAATCTCTGAGAAATATTTTATAATCATTATTCGGTAGTTTATTGAGAGAAATCTTGAGAAAAATGAATAGAAAGTATAGTGATGTATAAGTTATGAGATATACTAATCAATAATAGCATCAAATTTTTTATATCTTGTACTTACTCAAATATAATAATGTATACTATACTTCATGTCGAACAATATATCGTAAATATAGGAATATTCACCAAATACCTGAACTAAAGTTATAAGCACAAGATTTGTGAATACATTTGATTATGTGAGAGACGAAAACAGTTGACTTATTTTATTGAATCAAAAATATTATTTTTGATTGAAATCATGAACCGATTGATGTTAGATCACCAGTGAAAACTTGGAGGTACTGGACGACCGTTTCATCGTACTGTGGGACTCCTCAGCAGTGAGCCTCCGCGATCCCTCTCGCGGGTGACCTAACATCAATCAGTTCATGATCTCAAACAAAACCTTAGTAATCTCCATAATTCCATACTGAAAATATTGTATTCAGAAGAGAAAATAGCTTCACCAATTCTAATATTTAATAAAATTAGACTGATCTTATAAAGTTATATGAATTTGTAATATAAAACAAATGTATTAGGTTCTTTTCAAACGGAACTTCCATTTGTTGGTATAACGCTTCAATAAGCACTCACTGAATAAATATATTCGGTACTTAATTTAACTTAGACCTTCTCAAAAGAATCAATAAAAAGATAGTAAAACAAACAATTACATTGAAACTAGTGTCATTCGATATGCCCCTGAAATACAGGGGTTATAAACATGTGAATGAATACAGAAAAGTTTTCACTGCAGTGAAAGTTTATTTCAGTTTGCAAATTGATTTAAGTTCAGGACGTTTTACTATCTTATATCGATGCGTTCTCCACTCACTAATAGAACATTTCCAAATACTTTAATCCCAAACTTTATTCTTTTGTTCATAGTAATCAAGTGATGCTAATACCTAAACCTACACTTACGAGTTTTCTTTTTATCTTGATTCTTATGTAAACAGACTTAATAATCAATCAATTTGCATTTCTGTGTTATTAACATTATGCTAGTTGACTCGACTATTCTATTGATACCGATTTAAATTCATGTGTAAAAGTATGCACTAGTGTTTAATCAAAATGACCAACTTCAAGAATATGAATTTTGTGTCCTTTATTGTCAGTCATTTTCCAATCGAATTAATATTAATGATAAAATAAACACTAGAATAAGATTACACACATTCAATCCCAACCTCATTTCTACTTGAATGCATTTCATGTGCTTGGTGACTAAATGATATGCGCTGTACAATAACAAATTGTAGTTACAGCTTCGTATTGTCTTCTGAAAGTTATACACCATTGGGAATTATCTAATAACAGTTATTAGGACGAGTAATATACGAAACCTAAGGAATTATCTCAAAAATGGTCTACAACACTAGAAACAGTTTTTCTATATATTTCATGCTATTTATTTAAAAAATACATTAGCTATGGTAAAAGCTCGTCGAAAAAAAAGATATTTCTTATCAGGCAACAGTTTTCATTCATTCGCTTAAAACCAGCATTTATTGGTTAGTTAAACAATGGAAATGTTCATTTTTAGAGGGCTTGTTATTGAGCTATTCAATAATTAATAACATCATATAAGCACACTGATATGAGATAACGAAGATGCAGTAACAAAGATGTAGTATATATCACAATTATGAAGATAAAACATAGAAAGTTTGATTAAAAGATAGAGATGGAAAATATGAAATTGTATTGAGATTAACCACTGGACATGTTTACTGATCAGATACCATTAATGTAGTCTGTACATACAAATATAATCATGTTTTAGCTTAGCCCCACGTAACAATTTTTAACCTACTTCTATTCTAATCAATATTCAATATCAAAGTAAGCGCTATTTGGAAATAAGAAACATATGTCTTAATATCTTCAGTAGATGAAAATTTATCATCTCATTAAGCAATATACTATATTTACCTAGTGTTGGGGTGATCCAGAGAATTTCTCGCAAAATACAAGCAAGGATCAGGAAACACTAAGAAGCATTTTATCCGATCAGTGTTCACTTGAAGTTTTAGTCAGAAACATCAAGGAAGTGAAACGTCACATGTAGAGATTCTGATTGACTGATTACTTATACTGCTACTATGTTTAATAGCATTCCAGAATCTCCGAGCAACCCAAGGACATTTAAAATATTATAAAAACCCTATATTTTCTGTATTAAAATGAACCTTTAGAGTAAAGTACTTCTCGTATACTTTGCTCCTTCTCTCTCGTGTTCAGGTCTCTGTATTGTTCTAGCTTGGGGAGTTTCAAGAATAGCTTAGGAACCGAGTATAGTGTTCGAAATGGCAAGACTTATCATTTGGTACTTTAAATTCATATAATGTTTTAACGAAAAAATACAAAAAAGTCATTTATTAAATTTAACTTACTTTATCTAATTCTTCAGTAATATCTCTCCAAAGTAAAGATAAGGATTCACTATATTGTATAATAAAATTATTTTTAAAATCATTACTTGAACAAAAATTAGCTAAATTTTCCATATAAACATTTCTCAAATGATATAAATTTTTACATTTAGTTACTGGATGTATAATAATATGAATTAATTCAGATAATTTAAACCATTTACGATATTTTTTAAGTAATATATCATTCTCTTCAATGAGTAGTATATTTAATAAATGAAAAAATTTCAAATTAAATAATAAATCTTGTTTAGATGTATTATCAGTAAATGTAATAACTGACCACATTGACGATGATGATGATGATAATAATGATGATGATGATTTAGAATAGGTTATTGTTGATAAAAGTGAGTCCAAAATATTTCGTACACGTGAAAAACTATTCATCAAGAATAATGTATCATCAATCATTGAACAAAGCTTTAAAAAAGCAAACATATGAATAAAAGAAGGGGTTTTGTGGAGATTATAGTAATTTCAATCATTAAGATCATGAGTCAGTTGAAGCTAGACCACCATGGAAAACCTGGTTAAGTGCTCGCGCGCGGAACCAGTAGGTCATGGGTTCGAATCTCGCAGGGGACGAGGTCGTGGATGCGCACTGCTGAGGAGTCGCACAATAAGAAGAAATGGTCGTCCAGTGCTTCCAGGTTTTCCATGGTGGTCTAGCTTCAACTGACTCATGATCTTAATGATTGATATAAATATAAAACAATACTTACAATCATAGCTAAAATCTACTTACATAATATGTATTTAATGTCTAAGATGTATTACATTAACTATAGAACAAAATAGCTGGCTAATCTATTTGTTTTTTCTGAAGAATGAGAGAAAAAAACTACATATAAAAAGAATGCTTCTTTTCTTGGATGTTCCCGAGTACATACATTTCTAAGATTACGTTTCCATGTTACTTTGTTTCATGTATAACAGTGAAATTTTCAATAGTTTCTCTATATCAGGTTTGAAAATTGAATGTGAATCAATTCCTTACTATAGTTTCGGATTCCTTTTAAAACCATCTCCTAAGGCAAACTAATTAAATACGTTTTTTTCGATGGTTTGACTATAATCTTATGTTGTAATTTTGATTGTTTCTTTTAGGAATAATAAGTAGTGTGAATTAAAAACTGTTAGATCTGTAAAAAGCGTTTACATACTAAATCATCATTTTCACCCGATATAACGGCAGAATAGGAGTAGTTTTTTGTTTGCCATACTCTATTACTGTTATACGATCATATGACCGATGATCAAATTTGCCAACAACAAACTGTATACTTGATCAATACGCTATAAAGAAACTGAACCAGATACCTGATTGGCAAGTAATAACAAGAAACCACAGTATATACTTGACCATACTTTATTCAACGCAATGACAAGCAGTTACGCTCGATATGTTCCGAGTGGAAATCAATGATAGAAAGCAACTCACATGTTTAATATATATGGTCAGCTGTGATTGTCAATCCTAGACTAGTGGCAAATCACAACTTACTTCCACCAGACAGACACTACCTTCACTTTATATACTTGAGGAATTACTATGCAGAAGTAAAAAGTATCATGTCGTTTAACTTTAATGAAACTACTACGAAAAATTATCTATTTGCATTTACTGAGACGTATAAAATGAGATGAAATCAGTACGTTTTATGACTTAGTGAAGTCACAATGACCTAGTTAAATCATTTGATCACAAATCAAAAACAGTAACTAAACGCCTATGATCAAACGACCCACTCATACGAGTACTTTTAATAATGAATCATAACAAATGATGATTCTATTTGTAAGCGTTTTTAATTTCCCGTTGCTAACATTATGGACTACAAATGATTAGCATGAAGAAACTAATCAATCTCCGACCGTTGCCGCTACATTGACGTGGTGGTCGAGCATGCCTATTGTGATGAACCAACCGGGTGATACCGGCTGGAACAATCAGTCTTTAAAGTCTTATCATGTCAGGCAGGTCGGTTGAAGAGCGGTAAGACTAAAATCAATAAACCCAAGGTCCGAGGGCGAAGTCTTAATGCTGACTGTGCGGAGGTATGACGGCAGTAAATGATGCTTCCTTCAAACAACCAACATAACTGTGATGCTCCCTTTCCACAAAGGAATGGTAGGTTAGAAGAGGTCGGCCCCAAAAGTGCACACCTCGACTTATCCAACGGATATCCGTATGTAGCAGTATGGTCCGAACAAGTGCATATGTTTACCTATCGACTTACAATACGCAGATGAAATAGTCCTGTTTGGTGAAGACAGCAATGAAATGCAGTCTTTTGATAGCACTGACCAGCAATGCCAAGATGTTTAGGATGCGTTTCTCCTCCTCCAAATGAAATTTTTTGTAACAGGACTGGTCTGCGCAAACGCCTTAACTAAGGATAGAGATCGAAGTAGTTGAACGCATTGACAACACTTATCTTGGAGATCTGATCAACCCTAATGCGTTGGTGTCTGACAAAATCTCTGCACGGATTGAAAAAGCCCGTTTATAGCTTTATAGCTTTCTTTCTACGAACTATCTGTTTCTTCCTCTATTATTTCCTTATACACAATCTATCTTTTGTACATTACTACCACTGAAGTAACTGCTTCAGTGAATTTGATGTTCATCTTGTTGTGCTAATGAGGTATAACAACTTCGAATGATGTATAAATGTGTCCGATCCTACGTCGTAGATAATCGACCGACTGACTAATCCCTAAACCCTCATAAATAAACTGTATTAATCGCGTTGCACAAGCTAGTGACTAAGCTCATTAGCTCAGGAGATAACACGTCGGCGTTCAAAGTAAAACGTATTAAGTTTAAGTCTCAGTATGAACATGAACACCGGGATGCAGCTGCATTTAGATGACTAGTCACCAAAACGGCAAAACGTCCCTCCTGTATTTCCTTACCATCCACTAAGGAACTTCGACAATAAAGTTTTTTGTTTTATTTTACTTACCTCATTTGAAATCATTTCTCGTACTGGGCTTAATACTTCATCGTTTGGTTTTACGACTGTTATCAGCACTTCGAGCCAATGCACATGTGGACGAGTTTTTTGGAGAAAAAAGCAAAGTTTTCTAATGGTTGAACGGTCAATCATCATGCACAATTCCGTATTATCTTTTAACATCCACAAGCAGACTTCAGCATCATCAGTCTATGAAAAAACCATGAAATAAGCAAACACCGTGTATGTACCATAAGATGGTGTTTTAAAAATAAACTTCTGTTCTGTTAATTGATTGTTATAGCGGTATTAAGCAATTAAAATACGTCAACTTCACAAGTTTAAAGCAAACTGTAATGTTTGAAGATAAAGACTGGACTAGAAATAGTTTCTCAGAAACATCTAGAAAGTGGAGATTCACGTGTCACACTTCTGATTGCATAATTATCCATACTGCTATTATGATCAGTAGGGTCCCAGAACTTTCCAGAAGCCCTAAACCATCTGAAACGCTACAAGTACCTTCAATTTCGCGTGCATAAACAAACTTTGAAGTAAAACATTTCTTTCATACTTTGCGCCTTTTCTCTCATGCTCAAGTTGTCGTGTAAATTTAGCCTGGGGTTATTAAAACAGCTAAAGAAATGGATTCAAGTGTTCAGTTTGAATATTTATCAGTTGCAAAATTTTTATATACGTGCCTGAATAGGTTGTGCGATTAGCATACAAATTGGTGTGTAATGATGAACAAAACAGGATAAATTGTTCAAATATCTGAATGGTAGGAGTAACACGTAGCCGAGCTACACAAGCCGACATCCTGTAAAAGCAAACACTTCTTGGAATATTTTTGAAGATTGATCACTATGAAAACAATCTGCAGCATAAAATAACATTAGCTAATCAACCATTTTAAATAAAAGAACGGCGAAATAGTTATTTCGTCTTAGCATCTGTTTTCAGAGCACTGAACACCCACTACGTCATCGGAATTTTCGAGTATCATGGTAAGCGGATAACTTTTAGAAAATTAGATTGATACCAATGAGTTCAGTAAATGTATACACTGCACACTCTCTAGGTCAAAAAGTTTCCCTATTTCACTTGTTACGTATAAACCACATTAAATAGTTACAGGCATACAAACGAATAAACGTTTTTCATTCCTGCTTTAACAGTTTGTTGTTGATCTACGTTTTGAGAATAAATTCTTACTTTCTTCATATCTAGAAATGAATTCAACTAATGTTAGCAATCTGTGGCATAAGCGTAGTGGTTAAAGCGCTTGGTCTTCAACAGGACATTGGAAGAGAACTGAGTGTGATTAAATATAAAGTGACATCAGTCAGTGAAGTTATTAACTGTTAAATTGAGCTGTATTTAAAGAATTAAACTACTTCTTTGAAGTCGACGTGATCATTTTGATCAATGACTGAATACATTATCTGATATGGCTTACAAACGGCTACAATAGCGTAGACTCATTTGCTCTCAATCTTCTATTACATGTTGTTTTAAAATTATCTTATACTTTTTAGTCTGAGAAATCATAGTTTATTTTGAAACCATATTGTGTTAGCTTTATTTATTTATAGGACCACTGATACTTTTATTACTACATTTGCAGTTCATGCCATTTTCAACAACCACCAAATCGATTTTAAAAATATCAAAATATTGCAAAAAGGCTTTTCCAACTACAAAGAAAGGAGGGTAGCTGAGGCGTTCCATATAATGCTTAATCCTACTTCTCTCAACAGAAAGGAAGGCCTTACCATACATCCTACTTGGACCATTTATCCCAACCATTCAGTCTGATCATATTTACAAATTCATACTATCATATTACAAATTTAAACTCTATCCCATCTTACCATAAAGGTCACACAATTTTTCATTCTTAAACAATGCACAAATACATACACATGCAAATTTACATACACGTCACTTATGAATCACCTTGACAAAAATGACATGACATCAACTTGCTCATATCTGTTTTTTGATTGATCAAATATTATTCTTGTATCGTTCCGTTGTACTATTTAAACTTGGATTAATTTTAATTTGATTATTTATTCTCTGAAGAAGTGACTTACACTAAGCCACGAAACGTCAGAAAATCTAATTTCCTACTCATTGGGATATTACAAATATATTATTTATTTAGAAGTTATTAACTGTTAAATTGAGCTGTATTTAAAGAATTAAACTACTTCTTTGAAGTCGACGTGATCATTTTGATCAATGACTGAATACATTATCTGATATGGCTTACAAACGGCTACAATAGCGTAGACTCATTTGCTCTCAATCTTCTATTACATGTTGTTTTAAAATTATCTTATACTTTTTAGTCTGAGAAATCATAGTTTCTTTTGAAACCATATTGTGTTAGCTTTATTTATTTATAGGACCACTGATACTTTTATTACTACATTTGCTACTCTGGTACGTGACTTATTATTTCAATTTAATTGTTCTGATATGATATGGTAGCTTGAGCCAATGCGTATATCTCAATTTCTATGTTACTTATGACTGATTGATGTGCTGATGCTGTTTAAACAATCAATTAACATCATTAATCCACCTATAATAAATATTTGGCTTAAATCAAAGTATATAAACCTGTCATCAGTATATATTAGTCAAGTGACATTAAAAAAACAAGAAGATTCTATATAAAAACAGAGATATTTGTTTTGTTTTACACATTATAATACAATATAAAGAAAAGATATCTACGTAAATACATCCATAATGCATTGAAAAATAAAAAAATAAATAAATAACCTACTTCAGTTGTGATGAATTTATCAAGATACGGATATAATAATTTTTGGTTTATCTCATTGTTGTAACAAAATAAGCATAAAATATATTTTGTCAAATGAACAATCTCATTGAATACAACATCAGTACACTAAATTTTTTTAATAAGAAAAAACAAACATACATAAGAAACATGAAAAAATATGAAATAAATTTGTGAACATTCAAAACATTTGAAACTGTAGTTGTTATATGAAACTCTATAGCAATAGTTAGCATATATTTTTAGTCGAAAGAAGGTTGACTACTTCCAACTACCATCTTATCTCAATATAGTGCACACAATGTCGAGTCACCTAGACTAATGGCCACATTGCAACTTGGTCGATAGCATTTGATTTGCACTATGAAGGACTTGACACACATGACATTGATCACCACCCAGTGATTAACCAATTGTGATTACATCTCAGTCCTACAGGAGGTCGGTCGTGGCGCGGATAGCTCAGTGGTAACCTCTCTGATTGTGAAGCTGGGTGACACGGGATCAAATCTGTCAGGGAGAACCAGTCCTCTCAAGATTACAGGTAAACTTTGCTGACGAGTGCCAAGTAGCACGAAACCCAGAACCAGGGTTTCCTGTTGACTACCTCCAACCACCATCTTATCTAAATAAACATCTATTAGCTCAATAAAATACGAATTATAGGTCTGCCTCTTGGTATCCAACCCAATGTCATGGTAATTAAATAAAACTTCACAATTTGTTTCATGTTTGAATCAGTATCACCAATTACCGATAGAACTGATTTGTGCACAAAATCCGTTATCTAAGGGATGTCATATTATGTTACAATCGTCTAGAAGGATTACTTTCAACAAATTAAACTGCTGATATGGTGAAAGCATTTAATTATTGTTACATACAAACTTTGTCCAAAAGTAACTGTGATTAATTTACTACTACAACTATTCAAGGTGTAGAGACATTATAAACCCGACGATTCACCCTAAACGAGCTTCATGAATACTGAAATTTATTGTTAAAAATAACACGGAACATAGAGATAGTGTTTAATATGTGTTGTACAATTCCAGTATGAAAAAATTAACAAACTATACTGTTTTGTAAACAAATAAGTTCATCATGATTCTTGTAGGGAATCTCCCCGGAACAGGTTAACTCATTCTTACGTTGCATATTAAAAAAAGTGAACGTAGAAGAATCACATATCTAATTCTAAAGTTTGGATATAGTTTCAACCTTGTCATTTAGAATCAGTAACTCTAGAATCTTAAAAATATCGAAGACCTGATCAACTTCACCTTTCGAGCCAGAAATGAATTCTTTCATAGATTGGTATCACAATTTGATAAAACAAATTGTATGCTTTGAATAAAATTGCTTATCCAAGTGTGCTATTTTTGAGCACAATTAAAATAAGGCTGGAACTAGCATACTATATAACAGCAAAAGAAAAAATTTTAAGTCTCGATCAAAAATATTCAAAAACTTCTCGTTGTTTCATTTATTAAAGATACTGCTCTTTCGTTTGTCACAGTCTCCTGATAAATTTTTCACAGATATAATTGTTTTATGGATGATGATGACGATAATGAACGGATATTCTTGTTCGTAGAATAGGCACAATATAACAAAACTCACTTTGAATCGAATATTCAATAATTCTTTCAGTATATTATGTACCCCTAAATGACGTAAAAGTTGTTGTATTTGTTCAAACGGAAATGATGATGATGATTTATCCATAGTTCTAAGTATTCTATTATTTATTTGTGTACTGATTTCAGTACTAAGAACATCCATGATATTATTTGATTCTTGTTCTATGATTGAAGTTGATAAATCATGATGTTCTAATTGACATAAGGATATTATATGACAAAGTATCTATATTTAAATATGGAAATGTAAGGAGAAAAAGAGACAGAATCAACAGAACAAATATATTTATAAGAAAAGAACAACAAGTAAACAATACAACATTACATAGCCAGTCGTAAATTTTGAATTCATTTAAACAAAACTGAAATGAAAACGACAAGCTGGTTGATATAAAAGGAGTTCAGAGATTTCTAATATATGTAAATATATCGGTAAAGCAACAGCAGCATATTTACAATTGTAGAACATCTGCTACTCAAAACAACTATCAACCCAAACCAAGGTCAGAATTTTTAATACAAATGTCATGACAGTTATACTACATGGGGTGGAAACATGGAGAACTACCAAAGCAATCATCCAGAAGATACCAGTGTTTATTAACAATTGTCTACACAAAATAATTCGGATCCATTGGCCAGACACTATCGGCAATAGCCTACTGTAGGAGAGAACAAACCAGATTCAAGTCGAGGAAGAAATCAGGAAGAAGCGATTGAAGAGGATACGACAAACACTGAAAAAAGCACACAACTGTGTCACAAGACAAGCCCTCACTTGGAATCCTCAAGGCTCAATGAGAAGAGAGAGAGACCAAAGAAAACATTTTGTCGAGAAATGGAGACAGACATGAGAATGAACAAAAATTGACTAGAACTAGGACAAAAGTCCCAGGATAGAGTGATCGGAGAATGCTGGTCGGTAGCCTATGCTCCATTGGGAGTAACAGGCGTAAGTAATATATATAACACCTTGTTTAAAGTTTGGTTTTTTTTTGAAATATTTTCCTTCAGGATTCAAATATAAAGAGTGTAAGGATTGACCTACTAAGGAATTTTAACCAACTAAAACTCGTATTTAATATTTTTCCAACAATAAACAAAGGAAATTTAAATGGATATGTGAATGAAACGAATATATAATAATAATAGTCTTTACTTATATTCATACATCATGATGTGTGTGAGTTTAGTAACCATGGACCTAGGGGAAGTTTTTAATCTTAATCAAATGACAGGAATATATGTATTGATATTTGAACAACTGAAAGAATGAATGCTACTTATACTTTGATTTGGTGACTTAGACATTTTATGCAATTCAATGTTTTATTAGACCTTTCATTTATTTGGTAATCATGGATGTTAGATAATAATATTGTACACCTAAATTGTTGTCGAGATGTATATAAGAGTTTAAATTTATAAAATGCATATTCATGAATATGTATCTACCGATACATTCGATTTGTCTAGCCTAAATATCAAGAATTGAATAATCACATCAAATAAAGTTGAGTAGGTGATTAGATCAAGTCATGAATAAAAATCTTTGAAGCAAATGACTGGAATATTTAGATATGCTAATTAAATCTAACGGGCTAGTGATTGAATATTTCTGTTTTAAATAGTATCTAGCCAATCAAATCAAAATAATTAAAATTGATTTTGAACATTCAACTAAGCAAATAATTAATTTAACCATAAAGACATAATTTACACATGATCAATTATTTAAATAGTTTAACTTACATCTTTAACCAAAGCATAATTATTTATACAACTACATTGAGTGTAAATCTATCAAATAAATCAAAAAAATACACTGATGATCATTTACATGACATGTTTTTTTCTCAATAGTTTTAATAAATCAGTAGAGGTTTTGTGGATATTATAATCAATTGAATCCTAACTATCATGGAAAATCTGAAAGCACTGTCCTCAACAGTGCACATCCACGATCCCGCTTTATGAGATTCAAATCCAAGACCTATCAATCTCACTTGCGAGCTCTTCACCTCTAGACTATTGAGCCGGCATGTTAATGTCTAAATTCAAGTTTTATTAGAACGGAGTGATATATATATATATATATATATATATATATATATATATATATATATATATATATATATATATTCACTAAGACGGTATTGATTTTTATTTTGTGAACCTCATCAATATGGTTAAAATAAGACAACAATTTTTTTTATTATTTTGTTTACATAAACTTATTTACTCTTTACGTCATTCTGATAGTTTTCTTTTTACGTTATCGAAATTTATCTAAAAAATTATAATAAAACTTCTATTTTAAGAATCCAAAAATGCTATTGAGTTCATTTGTTTTCGTTTACAAAATAATTGACCTGATTTAATTATTTTATTGTTATAGATTTAGTTCGTAAAACTTTAATAAATAAATCCTATAAGTGTATTTTGTACTTGTTTTAATAGAATCAATGCAACTTGTTGTGTATATGAGGTATTTTCTTTTTCATGACCAGAATATAACAGAAGCTCTCTTGAAGCTAGTTGTTGTTGTTGTCCAACCTGAGTCCAATGTGTTTCACTGATTTCAAGAACCTTCAGGTTGTATCTCTTCATTTCTGCTGCACTTTTAAAGGTTATTCCAGTCTCCGTGTACCTAAATAAGTAGTTGCTCTGATTGTCAGAAGAGGCATCAGCCTCATGGTTTCCAAAAAAACCTGGCATTCACTATGAGGCGTCATAAATCCTTCTAATTCCCAGGACACAGTTTAAATGATTTGAATAATTTTTTATGGTTAGCGTTTTTTAGTGAGTTAATTTTCTAAAAAATGGGGTCAATAACCCCATGCACAACCTTCCTCCTTTATCCAAACTTTGGACCGGAAGTAGCCCTATAGAGCCTCTAGGCAGAGTGCACTCCATATTTTAACTATCCTATTCTTCTTCCTTGTTTTTCTGATACACATTAGAAATCAATATGTATTGAATGTGAATAGTGAATTGATGCTAATATTGATTTATACATATTGTTCTATATCATCTTTGACATCAATTATTAGTCTCATGAAAGTAATGAATGTATCTTTGACAAGTGTACTGCTTAAAATAATCGAATCTAAATAGAATTTCAATATGAATAATAGTAACAATATAATGTATTATAAGTCTCACTTGATTACTATTATTATTATTGGAATTAGAACTAGTCATACAACTTTTATCATGCATCCATAATTCAGATTTTTCAATTAAACACCGTAATGTATCTAGATGTTGTTTCAGTTGACGATAAATTTTTATTCCTGTATCTGATACTAAAAGTTGTACCTAAAATATCAAATAAACAACAAAAATAAATAAATAGATGTATTTATTATAGGCATCATTACCAAGGTTTGATTTGATAGTTTCGAATAAATTGAGCATTGAGTAGATTGTTATAAATAAATAAATAAATAATATCTCAATGGTTAAGATCATGAATCAGTTGAATCTAGACCACCATAGGAAACCTGGAAGCACTGGACAACCGATTCGTCCTATTGTGATATCCCAAATATTGTAATAGCCCAATAAGTAGAATAATTAGATTTTCTGATGTTTCGTAACTTAGTGTAAGCCACTTCATCAGAGAATAAATGAATAACCATATTATAAATGTATTTATTGATTCATTACCTGTTTTAATTTATTGATAAATTCTTCTTGTTGACTAAAATGTCGAAATAATAATTGTAATGATTTTAATTTTAATTCAACATTAGTTGATATACATAGACGAGCCAATACACCAATTAATAATTGACCATTATAACCATCTATATTAAGTATAGTTAATTTATCTTCTATTGAATCTTGTTTTGATAATTCATTAATTTCAAGATTTTGTGATGAATTGCTTTAAAACAGATAGATTAAATATAAATTTGATTATAAGGAAATTATTGAATTTTTCATTGTTTAGCTATTATATAATTGAAAGAAATTGTTGATTATAATGGTATCTCATGTTATAAACTTGATTTAGTCTTTCAAATACTTGTAAATTTAAGCATATATAGCCAAATCTATGTTTAATAGACAAAAATGTACTTACCGCACATGATTGTCTTCAGTGAGCTGATAACTAAAAACAGACCTGGTTGAACTACACTGTTCATGGCTTCTCACTAGAACTCCAATAAATGCCTCTTGAAGTCAGTCATTAGTGAGCATATGTTGATTATTATCAGAAGGGGTTTTGTGGAGATTTTAGCAAATTCAATAGTTGGAATCACGAGTCAATTGAAGCCAGACCACCATGGAAAACCTGGATGGTCTGTTGTGAGATATCAGCTGACTGAAGACAATCGTGTACGGTGGCGCAATTTCGTGGATTGGATGCCGGCTCAGTGGTCTAATGGTTAAGTGCTCTCGCGCGCGAGATTTATAGATTCTGGGTTCGAATCTGGCGGGGGGGGGGGCAGGATCTTGGAAGAGTCCCATACTAGGACGAAACAGCCGTCCAGTGCTTCCATGTTTTCCATGTTGGTCTAGGTTCAATTGACTCATGCTTTCATCTATTGAAATTACTAAAATCTCTACAAAACGCCTTGTGATAAAAATGTAATTAGTTAAAGTGTACCATTCTGCTATTCTTCTGTTAAATGTTTAATAAAAAACATTCAATCAGTTCCTTCCGTTTTCGCTATATAGCTTGTAAATAATGAAAAATAATGAACTGTTAAATAGCTAATGGTTGCTTTAAATAACCGATGAATAACAAACTATCTTAGTATTGCTTCTAAATTTTTCGTTTAAATGAAATGACAAACATTTTGGAACAAAATAATTTAAAGTGCACACATGCGCTCTCCTTTTTTTGGAGACAGTGTAACAAATCATCATTGTTTTGGACAGCTTTTCGTTATACATAAGCAGTTACATGAATTAACCTGACTGATATGTAACTTATCTACTAAAGGAATAACGCCTATTTGATAACTAACAGATTATTTAAGATAACACTATCACAAAATATTAATTTTCTTTCTCAAGTTAACAAATAAATACAAATTCTCCTTTCGTATATAATCTCTATATTACTTCAAATCTAATAATTAGCAACTAATATTTGGTATGGAATAATGTTTGTGATTTCCCTTGTTATTTCTATTCAAGTACTTGACTGATGAGATCATACATAAATAGTTCGGTGATAATCTGATGTTTTTTAACCGATTTACAATTGTCTAACATTATTAACTTACAAAACACGAAATTAATTTAATAAATAATATCCATTCGACCGAAATATACATTTACATGAGTTGAAAAAATGAACAGTATGAATTTATCTTTAATGTCGAAGATGTTTACAAACTGTATCAAACCATTGACATGTTTACACTAACGATATGTTCATATGAGATACTAATAAATAGCTTTTTTTATTGAAAATAATATAATTCCTTGAATGTTCACTTACTTGAAAGGAAACAACGTTAGAAGTTGATTTTTAACTTCGTTTGACAATTCTATGAAGAAGACAAAAAAAAACTAAACTAATTAACACATTCCCTTTACGTTATTTTGTCGTTTGAATAGTATCAACTACTTGTAATTTTAATAAACATAACTGTAATGAAAAGTTCAGATGTGTAAAAAATTTAATCAATTAAAACCTATTGACATGGTACGGTCGACAGTGGGGAGAGTCAACTCTCCCTCTCGAAATGCTTTCACATGGCCACGTGCATACAACCACTGTCAACGAAGTCCTAATCACTGCCTTCTCGCAACACGAGTGTTGTTTATGACACAGAGAGTTCACCTATGGAAGTTAGAAAACCCTGATTCCAAATCAATGGTGCACATACACTCCAGGTTCCTAAAAGAACAAATGGTGTTAGTCACCGGCTACCATGGGACTGCATCTCCTTACATTGCTTCACTGACTTGTGAATTACACCTACCGGTCAAAGGCTACAGATGTTGCCCCTTAAGTAGTCCACCTGCTTCGGTTTGGGCACTCGAGCAGTATCCTATCCCTCACACAAATCGAATAATTTATTTGGTGCATATCTATTTGGTGCCTTCTTGTACCTATGTTTATGTGTTTAAATAAATTGACATATAGACGCTTTTCATAACGTTAAACACATTAGTAAAATTACAAAAACATTTTTTTTTGGTTGGTGTTATTGTAAAACGCAACAAACATTCACTAAGCGTTCAGAATTATAATCTTAAAAAAACTAATGCATAAATGATAACTCCGGTTAACCAGATGTCTGTAAAATATATTTGTCTTAAACAGATAAATACTGAAATTATTCAATCATCTTTATCTATCTTACATTACTGAATATGTCATCATCAATATATTTAATATTGAAATTGTTGAGAAGAAAAAGTAGGATATCAAAAAAGAAAGAAAATAAAAGAGAGAAAAGTGTAATCAAGACAATCATTCATTAATATTTATTAAATTGTTTAGATACACATGTTTTGTTGCAAAGATACATAATGAGTGATATTAAACTCATTTCCTTAAAATGGTAATGTGTTTTTTTCTTTTTGATAACATCGACATATGTTAGCTCTATTGTTTTATTTATTATTATTACATTACCTAATATTATATACGAATAGTTGGCAACTAGATTACATGTTTCCTATTTCTATTTTTTTTTTTTTGGCAATGCATAACGACTAATTTCTATTAATTTTATGCAATTAGTTCCCTTTATGAATTTAAATAAAGATAGAAAAAATATTGGGCATACCATCGACATTCCGCACACTTTTAAAATTATCAGCAGACAAAGAAATACGGCTGCTATCCGTTTTGCTGAAGCGATCGCCATAAAAAAACTTAAACCGGATTTATGTATTCAAAAAGAGACAGTAATAAACTTATTATTACCCTGGTCATCCAAATTTTTTTGGTTATTTGTGTTATTTTATTTATTTTCTAAAATAGTTAGTTTGTGTTAAGCTCCACTCCCATTACGGAATTGTTAAACCACCTTTTCATTCACACATTTCCGCTCATTTGATCCACTTAAATTATGTGTACTCTTCGAATTCTATTCAATTATTACGTAACCCATCTTATCAGTTTTTAATTCCATGAATCCTTCACTACCTCTAAAATTATCACACAAATTATCTTATCTATCTCTCATCTCCACTCAACTATTACACCACCCATCCTTAATGTTTCCTTGATTCTATAACTTATGTCATTTCAATTATTTACATTCAATTATGTCAACTGTCTCATACTATTTTTTATCTCAATGTTAAATTCTAATACATAATTGGTTGCAAGCAGCTGACGAGAAACCTCGACATATTATGAATTCATACTATTCTGCATCAATATTTGTTCTGGCTCTATGAATTTTATCAGAAGGGGTTTTGTGGAGATTTTAGAGATTTCACTGGTTGAAATCATGAGTCAATTGAAGCTAGACCATCATGGAAAAGATGGACGCACTGGATGGCCATTTCGTCCTAGTATGGGACTCCTCAGCAATGCGCATCCACGATCAATTGACTCATGATTTCAACCAGTGATATATCTATGAATTTTGTTTACCAAAGATTTAATTTTACAAGTAAAATTATTAATCTTAAATGAAAATACCATAATGAATGTATTTTATCCATCAGTGTATCTACAAGTATGATTTAACTTCCTGTCATAATAAATGATAGCATTATAGTATAGAATGATTTTCTTTATATTTGTTCCAAAGATAGTGAACATCGTGTAACCACATCTATCACCTGATAACTTGTTTGTTCAAGATGACTGTAAAATTTAGCAGTCAAAATAAAAATATATTATTAATTGAAACTAATTGTCGTAAATGTTTTTCTCCACTTTTTCTCCATTTATTCTTTTACATAGTTCCTGATAGTGTTTTATAAGGTTAACTTTCTCTATACTGTATTTTATAATATACACTTTACGAATAATAAGATAGATGGGAAATTTTGAATTTAATTTTCAGTTATACAATGACATATGTTACTTATGTTAACAGGCATAAGTAGTATGTAACACCAATCAGAGATGAAATGCCTAGCAGCAGATAATTGAAAAGATCGAACTAAAGAGAATGAGCAATGAAGGAATGACTAAGTTTGAAATTTGCTAATAAAATATTTAATGTATGATCTTTTTTTACATTTTACGAAAGAACTTTGTAATTTTGTCTCCCCCTCCAGTTGACTTCTCGTGTAATACAATAAAATATCATTCCTGTAATTATTATCAAAATCAAGGTGTCTAAGCAACTGTTAGAAAATAATCACTATAGAATATCATTTGATGTCGACGGAATAAAAGAAAATACCAAATGATAATTTAACCCTATTAAAAACACTATTTTTATGTTTGAACATAAAAATTAAAGCTTTAGTTTTATTAGTTCAAATACTTTATGATCCATTTATCTATTGTGCTTGTGTGTATTGACTAGAAATGGTAGATTTTAATTAAAGATATATAATAAAATAATTAATTACCTGTAGTTTGCGCTATATTTCAAAGTGAACGAACTGTAATTAGTAGAAACACAATTGTTCTACAGTGAAATTATGGTATTTTTGTCGAATTCGTTATATGTCTTGTTTAATATATGGACTAATACATAATTAATGTAATAAAATTTGTACTCTATGGTTTTTCTTGCTATTTAATTTTAATTATTTATAAATACTATATGACTGACATAGAACAGTACATTATACTATCAGAAGGGTTTTTGTGGATATTGTATCAATTTCAATGGTTGAGATCATGAATCACCATAAAAAACCTGCAAGCACTGGAAGCCATCTCGTCTTATTGTGGGACTCCTCAAGATTCGAACCCAAGACCTTTCGGTATCGCGTGCGAACGCTTATCTTCTAGACAACTGAGCCGGTCGGCATCCAATGGTGTTAATGTCTAACCTCAACTAATACACGAAATTCAACGACACATCCACCATTGCCTTCAGTGAGTTAATATCTCACAACAGACCCGGTTGAACTCAACTGCTTGCTGTTTCTCACCAGAACTCCAGGAAATGCCTCTTGAAGCCAGTCACTAATGAGCATATGCTGATTCATTTCTGAAGGGTTTTTGTGGATATTGTAGTAATTTCAATGGTTGAGATCATGAGTCAAATGAAGCTAAACCAATATGGAAAACCTGGAAGCACTGGAGACAATGGTGGATGTGTCGCTCAATTTTGTGGATTGGTTAAAGTTAGACATGAACGCCGTTGGATGCCGGCCGGTTTAGTGGTCTAGTGTTTAAGCGCTATCACGCAAGACTGATAGGTCTTGGGTTCGAATACCGCTAGTTGAGGTCTTGGATGCGCACTTCTGAAGCGTCCCACAATAAGACGAGTTGGCCGTCCAGTGGTCCAGGTTTTCCATGGTGATCAAGCTTCAATTGACTCAGGATCTCAACCATTGACATTATGGTGTGTAGGATGTACTTATTTTGTGGATAATTCAGTGAAATCTGTTAACCATTCAAATCTCAACAACAATATTCATTTAGTCATATTCGTGCGTAGATGATAATCGCTTTGTCAATTTATGTATATAAATATCACGCATACTAGAAATTAATCACACTTCAAATATGTTGTTGTTAAGCATATTTAGATTGTCATAAGAAATCTTTTTACCTAAAGTTTCCTTTTTTTCCAAATCCTCTAACTCCAAGTCATTTGGACAAGCTTCTGGCTGCTCAACGCTTCGAAGAGTAGTTAATAAACAGAAGATTTGATAGTCTACACGAACGTCTAAAATATACTGAAATGCACAACAAGGCAAATGGTAGTTGTTAAAAATCAGAATGAAGCAAATACTGTAAAAAATACCAATGAGGAAATGTCAACTAGTCATAAAAGGCAAACTACGTTATCCCGTTGATGAAACCCTGCACAAAATTCCCTAGGAGCAAAACTTATGATGTTATCAGTATCCTTCGGCAACTTTATCCTTAGGCTGAAAAGCTAGAAAAATTCGGATAAACCTTCATAATAGCCAATGTAATCCAAATCGATCAATAATTAAAAGGTCTTTGAAAGAAATATATTGTTTCCTTCGTCTTTCAAGGTTAACGAACTACTAAGTAATGTGGTTAACAAAGTTTCTAGTACAGCCTCTTCACATTTATGCTCATCTTCACTACCTTTTTTTAAAGCCTGACAGGATCTGATATACGTGTGTATCGGTTTTTATAGACATCCATCATATGGGTACACAGAGAGATAAAAAGTGTGGGACTAAGAACAGTAAAACTATAAAGAATGTAGTCGAGAAATGTGATGTATACAACAATGTAGTACTTGGGGCGAAGAGAAACACGCAAAAAGGGTTCATTAGTATCATTGTTACTGATTCCAGAATATGCCACCATAGGTTTCGACTATTTAGGGGTTGTAAGCATTAACGATACTATCAAAAAAAGACTAAACAACAATATAACTTGATTCTTCTGAAATTTTAAGAGTCAACCACGACTGCAATGGTAAAATCTGGTATTATATCTACAAGGAGACAGTGAGATATTACTCTAATAAGAAGACTATGTGTACTGATAAATAATATTTCCTCTCTCTTTCTACAGTTAGATAATATTTCTCTGAATTGATTATAATGGCTTAGATAAATATGATTATTTTTCATTCTCTAGATTTTGGATGTCCGATCGTTAAGTTAATTTAACCGACATACTCCATCCTTCTGATTTGCCTTTTTCTTGCTCATGATAGCACAAGCAGAAGTGTATTGTTGTCTTGTAAGTTATACTTTCATTACTGACTTGGAGTTTTCAGTCACATAAGTAGTATACAATAACACAGTTTTGTGCATAAGTAACACCTTTAATTTCCTAATATATATTTCGGTCACTTGACAGTCACGATAGCATTACCAGTTCGACCGTCTCAGTTATTGTAATAGCTTTATAACTCATCGAGTGATCACTGCTACTAATACTGTGGTGTGTGCTACTTATGTAGACATAAGTAGTATATGACGTGAGCACTGAACAGAATGTCTGGCGGCAGAGAGATAAGAAGATTGAACAATAAAGAATGAAGACAGAATGCAATTTGTCTGAAAATTCAAGAACAAGGGGATTCTGAGTGATTTGAGACAATTGATGAACAATGTGCAAATTAACGATTCAATATATGGTTGTTTGATTTTACTAACTAGCTCTGTAATTTGTTGTTAAATACATTGGATTGTCCCCACTGGTGTTTTATTTCACTACAATACTACTCACACTTTTACTACAACAATAATACTAGCAATACCATTACAGCCATTACAACTACTATTACTGATACTACTACTACTGCGGTATGTGCTACTGATATCGACAGATATAAGTAGTATGTATCACCAATCGAAAGTGAAATGTCTGACTGGAGGTTAGGAAGATCGGAGAAAAAAGACTGAAAACAGAGAGTGATTGGTGTGGAGACGAAGGAGCAGTCAACTCTGAGACAGTTGATAGACATTTTTGTTATAACGTGTGATCCGCCTATTGGAGCGCAGCTTATTATCGATCGAAACAGTGACGCACAAAATACGACCGAGCAGCCTAGAGCTCTGATTGGTCCTGCTTCCCTGTCTAGCCCAGCCAATTGAGTCCAGAACACAAGTCTCAGCCTCGGAGATATGAATCATTATATTTCAAACATACTCTGTTTATATAGCAATCAAACAGACTACATCGTACCATAAAATAGAAAGTAACATTTGTATAAGATTTAACCTTCAGCAAATGACACAAATAAATATTGACCAATAAGGAGATGACACGTTGGAAGAATGTTGACCAATGGGGCAATGACGCTATTTCTCATTCAGGAATAGCACTAGATAATTTCTGGGGTATTTTCTGAATACCCCAACAATTTTCCAAATTAAGAATTTACTGTATGTTTCTCAAATTTTACTAAGAGATTCTGTAATTTTGTTTTCAAATATATTTGGTTTTTCCCGCCTGTATTCCCGTTCACTAAACTACTTCTACTACTAAAGATAATTCATTTAACATTAAATAAAATCAGATCAATATTATATCCGTCTTATTCTATGTACACCATTTCATATTTGTTTTTACAAATACAAATGACCGTTTATTGCATAATAAAAAATTTGTAGAACTTTAACAGCCACAACATGTTATTTAAATATCTAAAACGTTCACAATTAATTAACACCGTTGGATACCACGTCATAGTTCGCGGACGAGATTGATAGGTTCTGGGTTCGAATCTCGCGGGGGGCGTGATCGTGGATGCACACTTCTAAGGAGTCCCATACTAGGGTGAAACGGTCATCCAGTGTTTCCAGATTTTCCAAAGTGTTCTAGCTTCAATTGACTCATGAACTTAACTATTAAAATTAAAGTTAATTTTTCACTGTGTATAAAATATCTTATCATTCATAACTTACTTCAATGATATCCAGAGTTTTTAATTTTAAATCAAATAGTTTTTTATCATTTGAACTATTCAGTATTGATGAAGAGTTGTTCATCTCTTTCACTAAATGTTGGGGAAAAAGAATAAAAGATATGTTAATGAATAACTGTACTTACTTTTCATTAAAATAGAATTTATCTAAAACAAAAGCCTGGACGATGAATTATCATGTATCATTACTAAGCTTTGATTTGACAGTTTTAAAATAAATTCATCAACAGGTAGATTGTTAATAATAGGAATAATGATATATTTGTAAAACTTTAATGAATAAGAAATTGAATTACTGAGGTTTTACAACCTAGTGTTGTTTCTTTAGAGGACATGTAACCTAATTAAATGAACACAAGATCAAACAGTACCGCTGAAATTATTAGTATGAAAATTTTGTAAAAATTGTTGAATTTTTGAACTCGTCTTACAATTGATTGATCACTGGGTGGTGATCAATATCATGTGTGTCAAGTCCTTATTAATGCAGATCGAATTCTATCGATCATGTTGCAATGTTGCCACCAGTCTAGGTGACTCGAAACTGCGTACACTATTGTGATATCAGATGGTGGTTGGAGGTAGTCGTCCAGGCTTTCCTGTTGACTACCTTTAACCACCATCTGAACTCGTCTTAATTAGACAACCAACAGAAACCAGGTAGAACTGGATAAAATTTTTTCTAAGTGTATAACTTTCTAGTAATATGTGTACACAAGACCGCGCCAGTGATCATACTCAAAATATGCAGGCTTTGAGGTGCGAGTGTTATACTTAGGATGCATTTCAAACTTCAGTGAATTTTTGACATAGTATAGCAATCAATCAGTGTTATCGATGATATCTGTTTTATTCCTGATATGTTTGACCTACACTAACCATGGTTTTTCAATAGAACGTTTTGTGTACATGAACTATAAGTCCTAAACTAGATCATCTAAAAATGAATATATGACGAAAGCTATCTTGAAGTGATAATATATTTTAATCATTATTTATCTATATTCATGATGTAATCTGTAAGCGTAGAAAATATTCAGTTGTAGATAAAATTGTTATATTGTCTAATAAGCACTGATATTTATGGTATACTAGGTAGTTGACCCAACCCATTTTGAAAATCTGTTGTAGTGGATATGCTTTGGTTCTTTAAAAAGTAAGCTCTTATTTATAGTTACGTTAAACATTTTTTCTTCGAATTGTCTTTAAGTCAAACAGATTCTCAGAACAGTATTCTAATAAATATCATAGTACCATAAATTTATTACTTCTGACGAAAGTTTACATATTGAACAGATAAAAATGACTCATCTAAATCGGTGTAGTAAAATATCGTATAACACTAAACTTTTTCTGTTATTTGTAGAATGCGATAAATTGGATAATATTGTAATTGTTGAATACAATCATACTCCAGCTGTTAGCAACACTTATACACCCATGGAAACATATATTAAAAAGACATATGAAAAGAATTATACCTTAACCTCTCCTGTCCAATAATCTGCTAAAGAGCTTCGGTTTGAACACTTTTTAGTCGTGTAAGACTGTTATATGAAAATACACTTAACAAGGAAATAATCATTGTTGAAAGTTGTCTAAAGGATAATGGTTATCCACTAAATATGGGAAGATAGGAACGGGGATAATATAGTAGGCTCTTGTTAAAAGAAAACTTGTATTCATGTGAATCAACCTTGAAAGTGACGAAATATGTGAGATCGATTCTAGACTAAGTGTTGCGTTGGAACAGATTTATTTAGCAGAAAAAATCGTCTCAATTCACCAAACAAAGTGCTTTGTAAGACCCCTAAAAGTGAGAAAATATTAGCCTTGCTTTACTTCCGCCGTATATAACAGTTTACGTGTGCATGTTGAAGCAGATATATTTGAGCAACCGAAAGGAAAGGTTGTGTTCGCATCTTTAAGAACATTCTTAATAAATGGAAACTTTGAGGTCAACATGCCTTCAGTTTTGTGATCCCTGGTCATTTACTGGATAGTGAACACCAAGTTGAGATTTTTTAATCACACGAAATAATTCACCAACAAATTACTTGGAAACCACTCATATTACAGCCTTAAACAGAAATTATCTATTCATAAAAAGTAATATTGACACTCTTGCTTCCCTATGATGACCACAATTCCAAATGTGCATTTAAGTAACATTTTGGATTTATGATTAAAAATTCACTTCTTTCACTCATTCATACATGTTACCTGAGCTTCATTTATTTTCCTCTTATAATCAGTCCATTTTTGTTGAAGTCATTACATAACTTCATTAACCTATCTCTATGTACTTTAAAAATGTTCTTCTAAAATTGACCTATTATTTAACACAGAATACTCAAAGATAAATCTTTCATATTTATTACTGTATATACATATTCTTTGATCAAAATATTTGTGATATTATAATATTAAGTATGTAAATTGTTTTGCTTTTGAGTAATTAATATCATTGATTATAGGTTATAGGAAGTTGAAGAGATATCACGAAATAAATGCATTCATATTATTTTGCTATGTATCTTTTAAACTCCGCCTGAAGTCCCTATAGGGGCTGCTGCCGGTCACAAGCCCGGATAAAGAAGGAGGGGTTAGCGACCCCATCCCGTAGAAAACTAACTCGTTGAACAAACACTAACCACAAAAAATTATTCAAACCATTTAGACTCTGCCCTCGGAGTCAAAAGGTCTTCATTTAGAAGAGTTATGACGCCTCATGATGAAAGCCGAGTTCCTTCGGAATTCATGAGGCCGATACCCCTTCTGTCAACCAGAGCAATCATTTATTTAGGTACGTGGAAAGCTCGTACAATGTGGGAGACTGAGGGAGTCTTTCAAATTACTGCAGATTGCTGTATGTATCTTGTACTTTCGTTAGTTAAATTTATAAATAGGAAAAACTGAATGAAATTTATCTTACCAACTCCCAACTTATTCAACAAAAAAAAAACCCATAACTATTGGTTAAAAACCGTAACAAAGGGATGAACCTAACGTATGTAAATCACTTAATAATATCAATGATGTATTTCTTAAATCAATATATATGTTTGTGAAGTTTACCTACTTTTGTATAAATTAACATCATTTGTACTTCCCCATTGATTGAGCATGAATATCAGCTTTTGACCAAGAAGTAATAATTCTTTAATATTGTAAAGACCAAAAAATACCAAATTTTTAGAAAGATTGATAACCTATAAATAAAAATTTACAATTTTTTTGTTGTTGTTGATAAATTATATTTCGGTATATTGTCAATTTCTAATTTATTTCATTCTTAGTTGAACAAAATCTGAGTTATAAATTAACAAAATTGAGCTTAACTTAATTACCCAGTTACAATTAATGGTGAATAGTAAACATTTAAATTTCTTCCTCTTTTTAAAATGATAAAAGGGAACTATGTGTATAAAATTTAAATTATAAGTTAGTTTGAAGTAATCAATTAGAAATCCTAGATCTTGCTTCTTTTCTTTTTATAATAGTTATTGATTATCATAGAAATATAACTACACTCTCTAGGGTACCAATGTTCTGTATGGTGTTCGAACCAATTTCGATTCAATGTCAGGTCTGTTATAATTTAACCTATAGAATTCAATCACAAAACATACAAGTTAACCATAGATTGATTATTACTCATTGGTCAATTAGTTCACGTCAAAGCAAATCACAGATTATATAGTACAGAATTGTCATTTATATATGCATGAAATTAGATACAATATAATTGAAGTTTGTAAGCCATTTAACTTGCATTTACAGTTTCTTTTTGAAACTAACCACTCATCTATAGAGGAGGAATGTATTTGTAAAATTTCAGCGAAAGCATTTTGAAAAAAATATATTATATAATATATTTCCCTTGAAAAGGCTTGGACCAGATTGCCAGGCGAAACGTTGGATTTACTTTAACTTCTTTCGCTGAGATTTTACAAATACAACATTCTACCTCTTTAATGTTTCACATTAACTAGGTGCCCAAATATTGTGAAACAATTCGTTCAAATTTAGACGATAGTTCATATTTATTATAACTACTCATCTTTTACAAAGTTTCACAACAGAAAATGGTTCAATAAACTGTTCAATCTATTTATTAATGCGTTGTTTATTTTTTTTTGGGTTACATTAACACTAGTAAAACAGGATTTACAGGATGAATTAGATTCCTTTTTTTTCTTCCAATTTTCTCTCTTCAGTTACTAGTCTAAAGTGAAAATTACTTATAAGTTACTGGAAAGTTTATTAACAGAATTACGTCAGCACTACTTAATTGCAATAATAGTAATATGAAAAAGATGATAACATTATATAAATTCGGAATACTTTATATAATCCAGGTTGATTAAAATCTATTTCTTTTTTGTATCAAACAACGACTAAACAAACAAAATTGAAATGTGAAAAAGGAATTAGAAACAATATCTATTGATGGAAAACAATGTAAGGAGAAACAAAGTGATTCAAAACGGTATGACACTAAGAAATGCAAGCATTCTAAAAATGCTGAAAAATCAAACTACCATGATAATTCTAGTTTATTCAGTGATTTTCCTGTATGACACTCACGAACTACATACATACATCTATTAGGTATTCATGTATGCTGCATAAATAGATTTACATACATTAGAGAATGTGCATATATTTACACATGACACTTTTTGTGACTTGAAACATTTGTCAACTGGGTAATTGTATGCACAATCATTTATGAACCAATTGTTTTCTGCTTTCTTTGTTGTAAGTTTCCTAAAAAATTACATCTTACATAAGTACCTTTTATGTATATTGGAAATGGTTAATAACAAGCGTTATCTAATAGTTATCCCTTTCTTTCACTGGTATTGATTTTTATGATAACTTACCAATTAGTATTAGTTTTATAAATATCATTGTCATGTTAACTGAATTGTTTCGTTTTGTCAGATACATTAACAGAATAGGGGGTGTGAAAATATATGATATATTTCTCAAAAACAAAAGAAATCACTTATTATCCTCAGGCTTTTTTTCATTGATTATCTGTAGGTGGTTTAAATTATAACACGAAACAATAATTAAATATTTTAATCACATCACTTATTGGAATTTATTATTTAATTAACTTACCTCATGTGTTAAATTAATGTAACCAGGTTCAGATAAATAACAACTATCGGAAAGCATATTATCCAAATAATCATTTACAAAATTTTTAATGTTCATAAAATCAGTTGTGAAATTTTCTTGTTTGTCTGTAGAACTATTTGCTTTTTCATAACTGTAAAATAATTTGAATACAATGTAAGACATAAACTAATATGTTTGGTTTAAAGAAAAATCAATTAAATATGAACTTGTTTGTGTCTGTTTGATAGAAGCTGTTTGTTTTCTAGTAAATTATCATTTACAGAAATTGTTTATAGGAAAGAGAGTTAGCAAAAAATTCATCATAATAAAACGTCTTTGGTTGAATTGAAGGCTTCCTAGTGGATTATATCACAAGAAGTAGGGATATTTACCAACAGAGATTAAATTCACAGAAATTATCATTCAGTTCGTAATTTAATTTCCAAAAAATAGGCCTTACTGTTTGTTCCTTCAAACACTTTGTCTTGAAAAGGCTCTGAGATATTATACATGCGATATTACTGTAACACCAAATCTAGTGCAACATAAGTAGATTTTGGTACCTAAAATGATTAGAAATACTACTTTGAATCTCACTTATGCTTAAGTAGTATCCAAATTGAATGGAAGAGGTATTTTGAACATAACTATCACATCTAAATAACAATCAGATGTCCTCAGAGTGAGATCGCGTTTAACATGTATAAGACAGGGGTATCGATAGAAAAGCTTTTGGATCAAATCATATTTGAAGTTATGGTATAAATGATGTACATTCGCACATGTCTTATTGCATTCTACGGTGTAATTATTTACATCTTTTGCGAAGTCATCATCAGTTTTCCGTTAACTTATAGAATGAACAGTCTTTTTGACTGCTTGCACAGATTTTTTGAAATGCAGCTACCATAATTCGTATACAATGCAGTCACTAAAACGGAAAAGATAGATGTTTTTAATATGACCCTGGATTTGACGTGACTGGATGCGTCGACGAATTAGACACTGACAGACAATGACGAATTCATGAGAAAAACATGAGAAGACGGAAACTTTAATTATACACAATGCATTTTGTACTTTCAAAATGATTTTACCTGGAAACATCTGACTTTGTGCCTAATGTACTCCATAAACGAGCATACTGAATGGGTTGGTGCAATTCTTGAGGATCTCGATCTACATGAAGATTTAATAATAACCGAGTAAACGATGCACGCAGACTAGGTCTAAGCCGTTCATTCCTCATACATCTAATGAGATAATAGAAAAACAAACAACAACACAATGAATAATTTCTAAAAAGAAACAATGTTTCGAAGTTTTTAATTTTAAATATAGAGTGAAAATAAAAGGAAAGGAATTAGGAGAAATTAATTTTAATAGTGTTAGAGCTTGTTCGCCATTAATTATTTTCATAAAAGCATTTTTAATTAGATCAAGATACATTCTTTGTCAACTGCTATTTCTCATGTTCGTGATAATCAAGTTGAAAATATTGTATCACCCAATCCGTGCATTGACATTCATTGATGTGAAAATTCAGTACTTTCTGTTCACATACAATTCTGATTGAGATCATGAATCGATCGTTGACAGACCATCATTGTCAACATGCAAGAAATGAACGGTCGTTTCGACCTAGTATGGGACACCACAGAAGTGCGCATCCACGATCTCACATGCCCGATACTAACGCAGGACTTTCACTTTCTCGTGCTGTACCTCTAGACCATAGAGACGGCATCCTCCGACATTAATCCTTAACTTTAGCCAATCCACAATATTCTGCGACCATCTTCCATTGTCTTTGGTGGGTAATCGCCTCTCACCCAACACAGACTATCTCCACTGGCGACGGCTTCTCACTAGAACTCTGAAAACTATTTCTTGAAGCTAGTTACTAGTGAGAATATGATAATTATCATGATCTTGATTAAAACTCAACAATCTGTACAACCCTATAAATACAATTTTATTTAAGAACAAATAAATAATAATTCGATGTTTTTAAGTAGAGATGTATCAAATTTGCACTTAATGAACGGCCGGCAGTAAACTCAAGTCTATAGCTACTTAAGTTTAGAGAAAGACTAAATGACCACTGATACAAACAAATTACCTTACAGTTTACAACTGCAATAGATTTATGGGAGAATACTGTTGAAGAATCTCATGCTAGGATCGAACATTATCCCAGCACTTTCTGGTTTTCAACGGATATTTAACTAAAATTAGCCAACAGTGTAAACTATGAAATTCAAAAACCTCCGCAAACCCACTATTCTAAACTATCTTCATTGAACTGGATCTTGTAACAGTGCTTGAATAATAACTCAATAAAAAAATTGAACACTTTGAATTTAACTCTCCAGGTACTTCAAACTGTGACAAAACAGAGGTCCAGTATTCCTAAACTTTTAATGATCTCTACAATGAGTCAAGAAGTATTTTTTTTAAAATAGATTTTTCTTCTTAAACTACAGCTAAACCAAAAATAAAATTATACACGTAAACTCTTTATAATTAAAAATAAATTGCGTACCAACAGTTTTATTAATTAAATGACTATTCAGTGATACAAACTGTAACAAAAATGTCAACCTTTGATTGACACGGCGTCATACTAGTAGTGAAAAAGATTAACAATAACAACTTAGTAATGTAACTCAAAAACTACAAACAGATTCATGTACTTGAGTTTGAAACATAGGTATTATGTTAAAACACCTAGTTTTTTCAAATTGAATAAGGTGAAGAGAGGGCTTTGGATCTGCGACAAATATCATTAAAATCACTCCCATACTATATCAATAACAATATGATAAACAGTTACATTTCGACTGCTCCTATGGAACGAGTTATATTGGTCGACGTTCTAGGAATTTACATTTTCATGCTCGTGAACACTTCCCAGCGTGGCTAAACAAAGATTTGATGAAGAAAGTGAACAGATCGATATTGACCCATTTAGTACAAACTGGTCATAGTGCCAGTATAAACCAATCTTTTTCAATCATTTATAGAATCAGTAATATTTTGCTCAAACTTGTCAAACTTAAAGACCTTCAAACGGCTAAAGCAGTAGCCATCCCGATGAAGAAACCGGAGCTATGCTTATAAAATAAATATCTTCAACCACTCCTCCTCCCTTGGCCAACATCAAGGCCAATTAATTAATGGTAATCTTAGATATTGAATAAGCTGATTTGACTATTGTACTTACAGCATTTCGTAGTCAAATGTAATCGTCTGTTACGTTTATTCACAAATCTTTGTATTATTATTATTATTATTATTATTACTATTATTATTGGTTAAACATTATTATTAATCTCCCCAATACATGTTTCATTTACTTCGCATTCATCCCTCCTTATTATGTCATACTAATTTTTCACACAATATAGTCTTCCACTAAACATTTGATCCAATTGTTAATGCACTATTACTTATCTCTCTCACTCTATCTAATCCATATTTATTCGGATCATGGATCGTAAAACTTTCACTTAACATATATGCAGATTCAAGTTGACATTCTACTTGAATTATATCAACATGAACAATTTTATTCTATTTTGTTTAACAATCCTACAGTTCACATGTTTTAACTATAAACGATATACTTTGTCCTTAACCTGATCATTTTTTGAGATTATTAATTTAAATATATGAATTGTAGAACCTGAAGAGAATCTGTGGTGTGGGTTACTTATATCTACACAAGTACTATATAACGGTAGTCAGGCATAGAATGTATTACAGTAGAAGGTCGATGAGGAAAGAACTGGAACGAAACGCAATTAGTATGAAAATGCATGAACAATGAAATCTGAGACAATGGATTGATATTTTGCAAATTAACGATTTAATATATGGTTCACAAATTTTATTGAGATGCTCTGTAATTATGTGCTTAAATACAATCGATTGTCTCCATTGGTATTCTTGTTCACTACAAATCTATTGAAAATAATATTCTTTATTCAAATATTAATTACATAAGAGTTAAGAATTTCCCATAAAAAAAAACAAACAAACAAATAAACAAACAAAACAATCTCACTTTAATAATAAATAAACTGATAATTTTGTTGATAAATAATTAATAGCAATATATTGTCGTTCTTGGCATAATAGTGCAAATAAATCAATTTGTGCTTGATAATAATCTAATATTAAATAACATAATGTAATTTGTTTGGATTTCTCATTTAATTCTTGTTTTGATTGATTAATTATATCATTTAAAATATTCAAATTAAATTCAAAATATTTTTGTGTTTTATTCAAATTTAATTGATTTATAATTAAATTTGAATTTATATTATTCCATATATATTCATCTATTAAAAATGTTTGTTTCCATAGTAATGTAACAATATCTGTTGTATGATTATTCTCTGAATCAATATATGTTTTATTACTAAAATAGAAATAATAAATAAATAAATAATATGTAATAACATTTATTAATATGAATTTAGAGTATTTTTTAACATGAATGACTATGTAGTGTCGCTTATTATGCTAATCCCATATAAATTATTCTAGATTTCGAACAGCTTAATCTATTCATTCTACTTGAGTCACATTCTAACCTTGTTAATTATTCGCTTATCAATCTTGACTGTTTTAATATGAGCTCGTAGGTGTGTGTACACTTCTTATCCCACTACTCATCACATGTCTGTAACTTATTTTTGTGTAACTATCAATATTCATTGATAGTTACTCCTTTAATAACATCATCAAACCTTAATGTCCCCTATCTCTACTTATACTTTCAGTACCTCTACCACAATGGGATTTGAATCGATAACTAAATCTCTGTGCTAATGTGGTATGGCAACTCGAACTGATGTACGTACGTACGAAGTTCCACGTTGTTACTGACTGACTGACTGACTGACAATATTGATTAACGCTTGACCAAATGGATTTGGGTTACGCGCCATCTTCACTGCTCGTCGTTTCGCTTCTCTCTATTCCATCCGCTTCATATACAAAATATATGTATTCAAAAGTCCATTCTTGTTATTTGACTTATTTAATTCCGTTATTGACTAACGCGATTTAAGTCGATGATTATATACGAGGATAAGTCACATATATATTTCAACAACAATCATTCATGCGATCTACTTGGAGCCAGAACTCGGGCCATTAAAGTGGTGAGCCCTTTCGAAAACACCGTCTGATCTTATTGACATCTAAATTAAGGGCCCCACCAAAACTATTTCAATCCTAACTTTTAATTAACAAGCAATTTAAACCCTTTATAATTTATGAGAATTGAGTTAATTCATCAGAAATTAACATAAACAGATAAAGTATATCAATAGTTGATCTATAGTAAGATTATAAGTACACACTATAGAAACATTTCAGACTAGGATGGAAAAACAGTGCAATGCCTAGATTTTCAATGATACTTCAGGTAATTTCAGTTCGTGATCATTTACATATCTCGACATATTTGTCATTTGATTGATACTTTAAATTAGAATGAGGGTTTGTGAAGATTGTGATACTTTAAATAGTTTAATCCACGAGTCGATGTAAGCTAGTCCACCATTGAAAACCTGGAAGAACTAGACGGCCGTTTCACCTTGATGTAGGACTACTGATCAGTGCGCATCCACAATCTTGCATGCGGAACTCGAACCCAGGACCTTTGGTCTCGCACGCGAATGCTTAATCTCTAGATCACTGAGTCGATATCCAACGGTGTTAATGTTTTACTTCAAATATGATTTGCAGATTATTTTGTCGTAATTCAGAAGAATATTTTATCTGATGTTCACCAATATTTAACGTATAAATTAATCAGAGATAATATAAATTAAAATAAGAAAACTTCTGTATCAGTAATATCCATCCCTGGATAATACAATCAGTAAGGGGAAATTATGCTTGACTTATCGCCAACTGTTTTCAAGAACAGTGATGATTTACGCATTAATAATCGATTTGAGTGACATTTCTAATAAAATCCTTCCAATTACTACGAAGGTGTGATGAACAACAAAAAAAAACATATTTGTAAATTTCATTCATCTTCTAATATAACACATTTGAAAAGTGATCTTACCAGAAAATCACACAAGTAATTCCTATCTGATCATCAGTAATACATGTAAACAAGAACAAGGTATTTGAATTACCATTTTATACTTTCTTCGTTTTCACACATTAATGTTTCTTTAGATGAAATTAACGAATAAATTCAGGTAAATAACCCAAGTTAAAGCTTGAAAAATTATTCATTTGTAAATAGTATTTTACATTTGGATTATGAAGACCTCGACATCTGAGGGAAAACACGGCATACAATGGACAGCTCGGAACTAATCAGAAGATTTGGACTTTGCAGATGACCTAGCCCTCCTATCGCATACACACGAACAAATGCAGACAAAGACAGTCAGTGTATCAGCAGTCTTTGAATCAGTAGGCCTCAACATACACAAGGGGAAAACCAAAGTCATCAAATACAACACGGAGAACAGCGATCCAATCACACTTGAGGACGAAAATCTGGAAGATGTAAAATCCTTCACATATCTGGGAAGCATCATCGATAAACAAGGAGGTTCATATGCAGACGTAAAGGTGAGGTTCGGCAAAGCAAGGGCTGCATTCCTTCAATTAAAGAATATATGGAACTCAAAACATCTTTCAACCAATATCAAAGTCACAATCTTCAATACGAACGTCAAGGCAGTTCTACTGTACGAAGCTGAAACGTGGACAATTATAACAACCACCATCAAGAAGATACAAGTATTTATCAATAGCTGTCTACTCAAGATACTCAACATCCATTGGCCGGATACCACCGGCAACAGCCTTCTTTAGGAGAGAACCAATCAGCTTCTAGCTGAAGAGGAAATTAGGAAAATACGATGGAAATGGATAGGACATACATTGAGGAAATCATCAAACTGCACCACGAGACAAGCCCTAACTTGGATTCCTGTAGGGAAGCGGAAAAGTGGAAGGCCAAACAACACATTACGTCGGGAAATAGAAGCGAATATGGAAAGGATGAATAACAACTGGAAAGAGATGGAAAGGATTGCCCAGGACAGGGTTGGATGGGGAGTGTTGGTGAGCGGCCTATGCTCCTCCGCGAGGAGTAACAGTCGTTAGTAAGTAATTTTACACTAGTCACTCACCATGTTTCTACTAATAAATCTTCATTGTTCTCAGATAACAATTGATGACAAATAAGTTCTTGTGTAACAGGAATAGCTACACCACAAGAACTACATAATGCTGATAAATAGTTCAAAAATCTGAAAATATAAAGAATAAAGTAAATAAGTTCCTAGTATAAAGAATGAATAGAAAGGATGACAGGGCTATTTTTTTCTTCCAAATAACGTGTTAAATATGAAATTCACTCAAAAAATGCAACACATTTTATTGACAAATTTTCTGAATATGGCGTACATACAGTCAAAAATCAATAATACATATCACTGTTATAACCCAGTGGAGTAATTAAATATATTAATTAAAGATTTAACCATTGAATATGAATGATAACTTTATGTTAAAACATTGCATTGAATTAAATTCACATTAATATTTACGGATTATTTCTGGTTTCAGTTCCATGCTGTATCTTTAACTGATTTATTTTGAAATAAAATAAATCTAATCAAATTCACTCGATCGAATGAAACTGCTGTTTAAAGGGATATCAATGGTTGAGATCATGAGTCACTTGAAGCTAGACCATCATGGGAAACCTGAAAGCACTGAACGGCTGTTTCGTCCTATTGAAATCACTACAATCTCCACAAAACCCTTCTGATATCATTAAAATGTATCAGTTTTTTTTGAAGAGAAATAATCAAATGACTCTAAAACAAACGCATTCACATTTACTCTATTTCCTAGAATATTTTTTTCTTTTTTTAGTATACTACATAGCTAATGTGGTTCATGTTCATTCTAATAATTTTCTTGACTTGTCATCTTAAACGGTGATGCTCTTAAATAGTGGCATAATTGTTTGATATTTTAAAATGTTATCTGTATATTATATGCGACGATATTGAACATCTATTCGAAGCATTGTTCTGAGGATGGCATTAGCATAATAAAATTACTGTATTAAATAAACAAAACGGACTAAAGTATTCACTGTTTTCTCCAGCTGATGGTGTAATGCACCCCCTCCTCATCTTTATGATAAATAGAAACCCATACGTTTTTGTCACTGATAAATGGATAATCTTAACGAATTATCACAGAAATAAAACATGCTCACCGTGCTTCAATGTTGTCACGTACTAGCGAAACAAATGCAGAAACTTCTAGTTCACCAACACGTTTTTCAAGTAACTGTCGATTGTTATGCAATAGAGCTGTAATCGTCTCGGATGCTCTTATACCTAAGCCAATGTGAGTTTGCATCAAATTCAGATACTGTGCTAGATACTCCTAAAAACAATGTAAAAAGGATCCATTTCATATTTAATATTTTTGTAAATGTAGTATTAAACAAAGTTTATAAAATTGAGGAATACATCTTTTTGAAGTGAGCATGAATTAACCACATTTTTATCACATGTTACAACAGTCAGATTGTCTAGAACACATCTTATGGAGATGTATTTTTTTTAAGTTGAGGCTTTCATTGACATTTAGGATAATATTATCAGTGCCTACTTCAAATAAAAATGATAATCTCTGAATTAGACAACAGGCTCTCAATCAACTTGTTCCTTTGACCTTTTTATTGATTGATTGTGCTTATGGGTTTCGCTTTATTTAGATTTGCTTATATCTGCACTATGTATAATGTTGATCTGACCTCTCTAAAAGCGATTGTTTGAATCAATGTGAAACAATCCACTGACCTGATTTCCATACTTCTAGGAATTCCCCATAAATTATACAATGTCCTGGACCTAGAATGTAGTCATTGTGTTTTCAAATTTGTGTCCATAGTTGATTATATGCGTCGATACGAGTGATAATATCCCGTATAACGGAAACACTAACTCATATTATTGAGCTAGTAGGTAGGTGAGATGTTCATCTTCTCCAAAATAACAGCTCCATAGTTAGTCCAAATGATAAAATTCCGAACTGATTAGACCTTAAGATTTCCAAATGACTTCTCTAAGTCTAGTACTTAAGTTAATTAACTATCAATAGACATACCGATTTGAATTTAAACTATCAGCATTCACCTAGACTACATATATTATCTATCATGTTTACACTGTAATAAAATGTGGATTGTTTTTATTTCAACAACTGAAAATTACAGTATTTCTATAAATAAAAATAAATGGGCACCTATATTTTTATTACTTTATCTCATCATAAATTCACAGTCACACTGACAGCAACCATGCGCTTAATAATGACTAACATTGATAGGAAATTTATGGAGTTCTAGCGAAAAGCCGTGACCAGTGAAAATAAACCGTAACGGTTCTGAGGAAATTGACAAGGAGAGACAGTAGAAGATGGTTTTACAGTAACGTGGATTGATTAAAGTTAGACTTGTACACCATAGGACCTCAGTTCAATGGCCTAAAGTTTAGGCGTCTGCATACGAGGCTGAAGGTCCTGAGTTGAATTTTCAGTTGCAAAGTCGTGGATATGCCCTGCTGAGTAGTTTCACACTAGGAAGAAACGGCCATTCAGTTCATCTAGATTCTTAATAATTGTCTAACTTAGATCGACTAGTTATTTCAGTGCAACTAAGACTAATTGAACTATTTTACTATTTCAATAATGAGACAGTCGTTAAATCAACGATTTCCAAGATATTCTTTTTGGTATTACAGAAAACGGGATCTGTACTGTAGTGGCTTAGCTTCATCAATCAATCACCTTGATAACCGTTATTATATGACTACCAACGGTGTTTGAAATTAGAAGGCAATAAGAAGCGGCGACTAAAGTTTATTAGCGGATAGCACGGATAACAAAGCTGCAGGCACATCAAGCCAATTTGAATCAGAGAGGCAAATGTGTATATGCGAGCAAATACAGAGGCGAACTTATAGTCAAATCGAATAAGGTGCAGCTAGGCAAGGCAAAGGCTAATAATAGGATTCAAGTACATATATATATGAGGAAGAGAATGATTCATCGATCGATATTTAAGCGGTTAACATCTTAGCTAGATAGAGATGTGCGTAGGGTATCATGTGATCAAGAGTACATGATTATAGAGACAAGACAGCGATCATAATAGTGCAAAGAAATATGCGAATTGTTACTATTCAAAGCGAGTCAATATAAGGGCTTAACAAGAATTAACCATAATCAAAATTGTCTATAGGAGGGTTGTTATAGTACTATGGTATTCATCTATGTATTAAAACATGATGAATGATGTTCACCTTAAGTTTCAAATACGAAAACCTATGACACCCTAGATTAAAACAAGTTTAAATATTTCATCCTCTTATATTACCTACTTATAAGTAGAGTGTCAAAACTAATGTTTTTTTCCCAAGAAATATGCTTTACTCATTTTTATTGCCATTTTCCTTTCATGTTTGAAATTTCACCAGTCATAATCGAAAATATATCTGAATGTATCTTTAGTTGTAAAACTATTAACACCACACTACAACGAGTGAGGTAAATTTACTACTTCTCAATTTTCTGATTAGAAACTTCAATTTTAACCAAGCTCATTCAACCAGTTACCTCATTTTATTCTTTATTACCCGAAATCTACATATACTTCGTTAATTATATCACCGCTTGATTTAAGCTTTAAAATCTTCTGTCATTCTCTTTGTCGATGTTCACAAATTCCTTTTTTTGTATGAAATTAAAACAAAACACTTCATCCTATCTTTTAAGATCTATTTGGATGTTAATAATTTTCATTGAACCATGCCGAAACATATTCATACTGAATTCGGATCGAATTTATTCCTATAAATTCATACAAAGTTCAGTTTTATCATTTACAGCATTAATGGATTACACTTTTTTTGAATTTGATGAGAATTGAATGAATGAATGAAAGTGAATTTATGTTGCATATGTACATTTTAAGTTAATAAAATAGGAACTAAAAACATGAAGTTTCTTAAACCATAATTCAATACATTTAAACATTAAAAGTATAACAAAAAAGCTTCAAGAATGAATAATTTAAACAATACTAAATACTTTATAAAACTATTATTATTATTATTATTATATGCAAAGATGGATAGTGGCTAGTAGTGGAATGCAGTTTGACGTGTGATTCGTCCTATTTGGGGACACGTCGGTTGGATGTACCCGCATCTAAGAGTTGATGTTCATTCTGGAATTCGAACTCAATACCGTTCGCTTCAAACGCCATCGGATTATCTAGTTAACTACTGAGTTCTTATACCCACTTGCTTGTGCGATAGGGTGACAGCAATAACTCGAATTTATTACCTGGTAAGTGACACATAAACATTTACCAATAAGAGACTGATCAATTGCAGTCCTAAACATCAATGGAAAGATTATTATTATTATTATTATTTCACTAAGGATCTATGAAATATATAAATAAAATTATATTATTTTTAATGTTACCTGATTTTTTCTATAACCATGTTGTGATAATGTAAGTATTCGATAACAAAGATTTCCAACTGTTTGCCAGGCTAATATTTCATTTTTTTCATCTAAATAAATATCTTGTTGTTGTGAATCAATTGTATTGATTTCTGTTTCATGTAGAATAGATATTAAGGAAATATCTGGTTTCCATATTAAAATATTTGAATTAATTAAATGATTATTTACAATTGATGTAGATTGTTTTGGTAAATTACTAATCATTTTACTGTTTAATATATTAATAATCTAAGATTAATAATAAAGAGAAGTAAATAATAAAATGTAATAAACGGTTGTAAGATCAAATATCGAGACTAGACAAGTATAAGAACGAAACAAATAACTAAAATTAAGCGCTCGCACGAGAGACTGGTAGGTCCTGGGTTCGAATCTCGCGGGGAGCGGGATCGTGGATGCGCACTGGCACGGAGGAGTCCCATACTAGAATGAAACGGCCGCCCAGTGCTTCCAGGTTTTCTATGGTGATCCAAATTTCAATGGACTCATGATTTTAACCATTGAAATTACTAAAATCGCCACAAAACCTCTTCTGATAATAATTATCCGCTCACTAGTGACTGACTTCAAGAGGTATTTCCTGGAGCTCTAATGAGAAGCCAGGTCTGTTGTGAGATATTAACTCACTGATGACAACGGTGTACGGTGGAGCAATTTCGTGGATTGGTTAAAGTTAGACATAACACCGTTGGATCCCGGCTCAGTAGTCTAATGGTTAAGCGCTCGCGCGCGAGACTGATAGGTCCTGGGTTCAAATAACTAAATATTAAAATAAAAATTATGAATAATTGTCTAGTTGATTCCATAATCAATAGAAAAAATTCATCGGTGAAAATAGTATAAATTATGTGCTATTGATGTTGTCTAAAATGACAATCAAAGCCAAAGGATTACATTGTCTGACAAATAGATCATAATATCTGTAGAAAGGAACACAACAATTTATCAGTACTCTTCTCTTGTGATTTTGTTGATTATTATCATTACATAACATATTTCCATAGTTATTAGTTAAACAACTATTTTTTTAAATAAAATTTAAAAACTGTTCTACGTTGTCTGATGGTAAATGTCATTGTTCGATTTCGACAGTTACCTATTAAAGTCAGTCAGTCGGCCACAACGTATGACCAGGCACATATATGCATCGGTCCAAGTTGCCCCACCTTATTAACACAACAAGATGAACACCGAAGTCATACGAGTAGTTAATTCAATAGCTGTAATATATAAAAGAATGATTGTGTATAAGGATATAGTACAGAAGGAAAGAATGAGTTCGTGGAAAAAAGATATAAAGCAATTTCAACCTCATAGTTTAAGGGAAGAGAGAGAATGTATACACCTACACCATTGTGATCGATTCTGAGCCATGTCATCCAGAGTCTCCAACCATAGTCACGCGGACCCTAACCAAGTAGTCTGCATCTATCAACATGGCTTAAGCTAGAAGTTAGTGATTGCAAGCATTGATGTCACAAGTTTAAATAGTTATCTGTTAAAACTCTAACTAAAGAATTTTCTAAAGAAATTAATTTAAAATCATACAAACCTTCGTAGATAATCAGTTAAATATGAAGAATACCAGCTACTACTTACAAAATGTAACAAAATTCATGTTAACTGTTTATTTAAATCTGCTGAAAACATCCATTTATTATGGAAATTTTACAGATCTTACTTCAGTCTACCTCAGCACACTAGGGAACGAACTGCTCCTGATTTTTTAAAATAAAACAACCAGTGAGCGTTTTGAGACTCGAATTCCTTATGTTTATCTAAGATAACTCACTAATTTATATACCCACTATATTAGTAGCAATATATTTCTTCTAAGTACTCTTCTAAAAAAATAATTAAAATAAGTCACAAATAAATGATGATAAATGGTAGTTTTAAGTGATCTTATTTTAAAAAAAAAACAATTAAATTTGATAAACAATGTGTAGTTGACTTTGTTTGATTCAATGGCATCGTTGTTCCAAGGACTTTTCATTCAACATTATGATATTTCACCGGAGATAGACTCTCAAGAGTGATGAGTTAATTAACCCTGACAGTAATAACTCGAATCCATTGCCTAGTAAATGGCCTATAAACATTTTTTTTCAATTATACCCATAACTACTTTCGTTTGTATATTGAATATTTTGTATTCATAAAACAATAGTTTTGTTAATTGTGTAACATCATCTATCACTCGTTCACAATTTCATCAGTATACTCAATCGATTAATAAATTCACAGTTTACAATCCGATCATTCAATTCCGATTATCATATATCGATTGAATTTAATCAGCACTGAAGGCTAGTCAATAATGACATTGATTACTATTCAATAACCGATAATATGATCATTACAATTTACACCATATTACATAATCAATAACTAATATTTAGTTTTCTAAGAAAAAAAAAGATAAGATTATCTAATAATTCACATAAATATAAAAGTTCAAATCCAGTTGTAATATCCTCTGAATCAACTTGAGAAATTCTAGTCATAACTAACTGAATAGGAACAATAGAATTATGCTTGATAGTCGATGGAGGTCACATCTATCACTTGTCATTAAAGCATACCTCCAATTTTGAGGGCATTATTGTTCCCTGTGAGATTTGAACTGTGTTACAATGTCTTACAATCTGGAATGCTATCACTAAATTATCTGAATGGTAGCAAAAGAAGTAATGTTAACATTATGAATAGGGTAATAGTTTATTTCTATTTAGTGCGTGTCTATATCATTGTTAATAACTAAAAGTTATTTTGTTGATTAATCTTTGACTACGTCGTAGTTATACACTGTTGAATATCTTTAAACTAATGTGAAACAGTCATTCAGTCCTATATGGTTTTCAGTAGTTCAAAAGCTTAAGTTAGTCTGTGACGAAAACTAAATAAAAAAAGAAAATATATAAGCATAATTATTTTATAATAATTAAGAACTGTTTATGAAATATGTAGTATGTTTTTGTTTACTTGTGTAATAATATTGTGTTCACGTAATAACTTCTGTCTATCCCGTAAACCTATTTCATTTTGTATAGTTGGATTGGTCGACTCAAATGTTAAACGTGTATTCCCATTAAGAAACATTACTAATTCTGATAGAATAAATATAAGTGATCTGCAATTCAAAACAAACAAAAAAAAGGCAAATGAACACTTTTTTAAAAAAAACAACATAGAAATTAGTTATTACTAATGAGAATGATATCCAAAAAACAAATGTGTATTTCGATTTGTTGTAAAGAGTATTTTCAAAAAAATAACATAATCCATGTATTAAGTATAGGTTTACGTACCCAGCTCTATACTACAGTGGTCGTATGTGACGGTCAAAATAAAGTTATTGACAGTCAAGCCGAGTTGTGTTGGTAGGTTTAGATCAGGTTGGAGTAAGAGCGATTTTCGTAGACAATAGATAGAGACTATGAGTGATACAACTCAGAATCGTCTGCAATATGATAATTACATTCATTCTTTGGCTTCCTTTTGATTCTAAGTTTTTAAATCGTCTTATAGTTGATCTATATATTCCTTCTAGACTATATGTTCTATGCTTAATCATTTCTACCTCCATTTATATCAATAATGTTTGTACTACTCGGGCATCTCACTGTGCTTATATAATGTGTTAGCTTGAATCGATGTGTATACATGCCAAGTACTACTATGTATATAAATGACTAATGGAAAGGTGTCGTGGAGTTCAATCTCACAAACTTCTAGGTGGAAGGAGAGTATTTCAGCTACGAGGCCGCTGCAGCATAGTCAAAGTTTTTTTATTGAAGCCATGGAGCTAGTTATGCATTAATTTTTAACACTATGTGCAAGAAAACACAACAATCCTATTTTCAAAAATACATAGACATTCGGCACAATAAAATAAACAAATAAGCTTTGTAAAATCCAGGATTAAAAAATCTGTTTTTAAACTATTTTTATGCTGTAAACTACAAAGTTAAGGACCATTTAAAAGTGATTAAAAATGAGATGTTGATCATTAGGATTTTGAAGTGCACGAAGAGATATTTACTTTTATTACACATATAATACTCATTGATAAACTTAAAACGATGCTAACTATTCACTTATATCTAAGCCCAAAAACAGAATTCTGTAACTGTATTTGTGAAATGACTTGGTGGTAAGAGTGCATAACTTCTAAACACATAGTCATAAGTATGAACTCCGCCTTGCCTAATTTGGCTTGGGCGGTCGGATGGTATTATGGTTCTTCGTACAAAGTGTGATTTAAAGATGAGTCCAAGAGCATGTTGACGAGAACTGAGTGATACAACTCGAGATGGTGTTGAACTTTGTCTAATAAAGACTGATTAAAGGAAAATGACAAGCTTCCCCGTTAATATACTCAAATCCATAACATACAAACTGAATGACATGGCAGATTATTTTTTAGAATGAAAATGAAGATAAAGGTTAAAGAAAGGGTTTTCCGGGGTTCAGAATTCTGTTTTAAATGGAAAAATTTAGAAGAAATTTACAATAAACCAAATAAGAAATAAACTTATATGGCAATTAACAATAAAAAACTGATTTTTACCTCATTTGAGTTTCTGTCAACTTTCCATGGTCATTCAACATACAGAGAATAGCTCTAAGTGCTTTAAAGGAGTCACTAGCAAAATCCAAATCTCTCACAACATTCGCTGGTACAGGAAGAATAGCGAATACTTCTTTGTTATCTTTGAACGATGTAAGATTAAGCTAAAGTATTTAATTCAGATTGAAAAAATATTCATCGGTTAATATTGTCATAGAATGTTAATGGTAATTAGTATTAATAATTATAAATTCCCACTCATGTTTATACTAAATAAAACCAAGTACTTGTCATCTTAAAATATAATAGATTCCTCTGAGGTAGAACACCATGATTCATAGCTTATACTGTACTTTGAACAAATAATCCTTTTAGATAACATCAACGCTTATATCTTACGTTTGTGCTTATGACGTCACTTAAGAGGATAATAAAAGCTTTAAGACTAAACCAGTCAGCTGAGAGGACACAACTCCATCAAAACCATCGCTACTTACTCACTGAGATCTGTCACCTCTCATTGAGCATAGGTCTCCGACCAGTATTCTCCAACCAACTAGGTTTTCCTTTCCAGATGTTCCCAAGTGTCATTCATTCTTGTGATATATACCTCTGATTCCTGGCGCAATATATTCCTTAGTCTGCTCCCATTCTTTTAGCCTTAAAGATTTCAACTTAGCGCTTGTCTCGTGATCCAGTTTGATAAAAATCATTCTACTGAGCTATAAATCATTCTCCACCATCTTCATTCATTTCGAATCTACCAAACTTGCGATGATTAAGTCTCGCATATGGATATATGACTAGCCACAATAAAACTGTTTCGTTTATCATCAATAAAAATGTGTCCTTACTATAATTTGTATTTTAAACTTTAACATCCTGGCATACCAACAATCGTTTGTTTCAATGATCTGCTCTAAATGTATACACTGATTATTTCTAAAACTACATAAGGCCTGCAAAGCGGAAAATACTACAAAAAACTGAAAATAGCTATTTGTAAACGAACTAGTTAGTACCCACTAATGATATTTAAGGCAATTCTAAAGACCGTACTTAATCTATTGGTAAACCATGTGGAAACTAACTCAAATAGCTGAATGTAAAACTATTTCATAAATAATTGTAGATGAAAGGAAATAGAGCTGATGAAGAATTATCTGAAACAAAATTAATAGACATAGGTTTCAAAACAAGTTAAAAGTTGAATTAACGATTTTATTCTTATTCGTTACAATTATTCAATGTCATTAACTGTTTTATATCAATTTATATCTTTAATTCTATATTCTATTCGAACGGAATTATTAATTTCACTACTCTGTCATCAGTGAAATAAAGTGTATTTTTTAAGGCATCATTGATTGTTAAGATAACTTTTTATCTACTTAAAGTAGGCCTTAAAATGCAGAACTAAATCAAAAGATAAGAGAGTACAACTATCCAATACTTAATGAGATGTACAAACCTTATACATAATAGGTTTATCCGCGTCAGTATCAATAGGAATTTCGCTAGCTTTAATCCACATTCGTGAGGCTGTATGACAAATACGTACAAATGCATTATTTGGTATAAATCCATCACTTTCTTTATAATGACTTGTTGAATCCATCTCGAAAACAGTTTCATATGTCGGTTCTTTGGATAAAGTCAGAAAAGATTCGATACAACCATCATCTTGCTCTTGTTTACAAAAGGCACCTTGCTCTCCACTTTTATTGTTTATTTTGATAACCTTAAATAAAGAATTTTAAATGTTACATGAAACACTTCATTATTATCAAAATATCAAGAGAAACACTGACATTCTAACAAAACCTAGAATTCAGTTTTTGGATATCAGGAGAAACCAATGTTTTAAACAAACACCATCTCAAAATACTAAGTAGAGATATGAATGAATTTCCAAGTTACTGTTTATTACCTTTGATAAGTGGGAGATGATTAGTGTGGAGAACCATCAAAAAATGACCAGGGTATCGAGGTGGTATACTGTAACGTTAGGCTCTCTAAATTAACAAATGCTCTAGGAAACTAGTTGACATCATTTATAATCTTGATAATTGATTGGTTATTAACTTTTGACCGATTGATATGTTATGCTGAAATCTTCATATTTCTCTTACCAGTTGCAATAAGTACAAGAAAATTGAAATGGTCTGTCATTCGTTAATTTATAATTTTTGAGTGTTAACAGATTTTCACGATAACTTACATTTGCTCTACTTCATAATATTCCGAGAGAAACTATCAAAAGAAATCTGAGATGGGGATCATTCGGATCATTAATTATTATTATTTATTATTATTTTAACACATAGATATTGGTACAAGGAGGCACCAAATATATATGTGTCACACAGATCTCATTTGATATGTGTGAGGGCTGTGATACTGCCCGGGTGCCCATACGGAAGCAAGTGGTTTTATTAGGGGGCCAAACCCCAGACTTTTGACCTAAGGGTCTAACCCACAAGGTAGTGGAGCATCGTGAGAAGATGCAGTCCCATGGAAGCCGGTGACCAAGACATTGGTTCATACGCCATTCGTTCCCTCAGGCAGGATACTAGGGCCCATGTGCACCATTGATTTGGGTCCCGTTAAAGCGCCGGACATTCGCTCTTCGTCATCTCAATTTCGTAAACAACACCCGTGTTGCCAGAAGGCAGTGAGTAGGACTTCGTTGGCAGAGGCTGTATACGCGTGGCCATGTGAGAGCATTTCGAGAGGGAGGGCGAACCCACCCTACTCTCGGCCATACCAGGGCATTTGGGGGCACCATTAATTAACAGAATAACGTGAGAGAGAAGTTGACTATGAGTTGTTTTTCCGTTGACAGAGCTACAATAGTTCCCCATCAGGTGGCCCCAACGACCATCAATGATCCTCGTAACTTATTATGTATAGCTGTACTAGTTGAAGAATCAACGGTACTATTTGGACAAAATGTGGTCAGAGAGTTTACATTTTTGACATAGTGGTTAGGAGGTGGATGGCTAAACTTGAGCTCCATTAAGTAGACTAAACTTAGAAGCTTTTCCTAGTCTCTTGTATTTCACTTGTTATGATCGATTTGGTTGATGACAACAATATTATTTCAGTTAAGGAAAGTAAGGGAGAAAATATTTAATTTAATAATTTACTATGATTATTTCTAATTTAATCAGCATCAGATAAACTTTACCTTGGGACAGAGATATAGTCCAGTAATTAAATGTTTTAAACGAATTAAACTGTTCCAATGTCCAGCTCCAGTACGCCTACAATCCGAATGAATTACCTAGTAAACGCAAACACAATTAGGAATGAAGCGAGGTTTTCTACAAAATATTAATCAATATTAATTTGATGGTGTCTAGCATATATTTAGACCAATACATTTATTGATCTCTCAAAGGAACAAGAATGTAGAGAGAAAACAATCTACTTCCATGTACGTTTAAAGCCCTATAAACTACGTATTGCAAGTACACCTTTAGTAATACAATTATAATAGTCCGTGTATTCACTGGCTGATAAGACCTATGAAATTTTCAAGTTCATTTTATTTAGAGTCGCTCATGTTCAGGAGTTGGGTAAGGTTTCAAACACATATGCTAAATGATAGCTACAGTAAATATACAACCTATATCACACATATGTACTATCTACATTCCTCACTATCATCTAAACATAACCATTATTCATTTTGATCATCTTCACATAAATTACACTTTTTCGGCTGTCAATTAGAACGAAAAAATTAAATACATAGTTTTGGAACCAGTATTTTTCGTTGCCTATAATCATTCTTAAACTTTGTCCCGTTCATTTTAATTTACCACATCTAAAGAGGAAATATATTTTGTATGTCGTTTACAAACTTTTAAACGGTTCACAAATACAGTGACGTTTTTATGTACACACAGTAAATTAAATACAAATGTAAACATTAAACATTTTATAACATTACTACAAATATGGATACATATTCGAAAACGATGCATAACGTTAAGATCATTAAGAATTAAACGAAATCTGATTATTTACTCGGATACAGAAAAGATATATCAACCTACAATAATATTTGAGTATATAACTAAAAATTCGGCATTTGATAAGGAACCTTGGATAAATTTCTTGTTGTCTTATTATTCCCAATTAGATACACCTTCCAGCCGCTAATGTTTTTCAGGAAACTTATTCCTAACATGATCACTTAATAGAACCAAGACACAACCAACAATAGTACCAACAAATCTTTCACAAGGGCTCTTCTATCAACAGAACCTAATGCGTGTCATTTATGTAATGCATTAACTCGGTTACTCTATTTAAAAACTAGACTCTGTAGCATATAAGACCCTTAATAAAAGTATTCAGTGCCTTCCCAATACGTCTGTACACCGCCTCTTAGCAGTTGACAAGAAAAATAAGTTGGGAAAGTTATTACAGTTTTGACCGATGATGATAAAATGTAAACTCCATGAGTATTCATTGAAATTCTAAGGTGTCCCACTGTTTCACCGGATAAATCTGAAAGTCACAGAGCTTTAAAATTTTAAAATGATAGTTTAAAACATGCTTTCTGAATAATCCTGATCGAATTTATGAAAACAATGCATTTTCTTATATATTACTTACAAATAAGATATAACACTTCTTAATTAACAAATGTATGCTTCAAAACCGTGAATAAAAGGAAAAATTCTAAAAATCATGTCAGCCAACTAACCTCAACCTCCCATAATGCTTTTGAACTTCTAGCTGTAGTGGTAGCTGCTCGAAATGTAGTACGCAAAAATACATGTAACTCATTTTCATATGCATCACAAGTGAGAAATTTTTCTGCTTCACTATGAAATAATCTAATGATATCACCCTAAAATTTAAATCAATTATATTCAAGTTTCACACTGATTACATCATAAAAATCCTTTTTTCATAATTCAGTTAAGATAATATGATGATCCAATCAATAATTATAAATAAAAAAAAACAATACAAGACATTATCTTAAGTATGTGAATTCAGGAGAATATATTTAGTTTATAAGAACTTTCGTCTAAATTTGATCGAATAGTTTTACAGTAATTGGGCGCCGAGTTAATGTGAGACAGTGAAAGTATTTGAAGTAAATCCAATCTGGTTTAATCTTATTTCCTTGAAAAAGCTTATACTAGATTGCCAGGCGAAACGTTGAATTTACTTCAAATTCTTTCACTGATATTTTACAAATACATTCTTCCTCTTTATATCTAGTTTACTTTAAAATTACACTAAAATCAATAAATGGTGACTACAATTATTTTGATTCAGAATTAATCATCCCGATTATGTAATAAAAGATAAGCTTAATCTATAGAACTAATACAAAAACTTTGCTCAAACTATTGTATTTGATAGAAAATTCTTCAATATTAAATAGAAGAATCATAGAATCTCAATGATAATTATTTACCACAAAACTGATATTGATTAAAACTTATCACTATATGTAATATTACAAAGTAAGTTAAACTATTCTAGGATGAAGTTGGACGATCTAGACTTCGCAGATGATCTGGCTCTTCTATCAGATACGCAACAACAAATGCAGGAGACGACCAGTGTAGCAACAGCCTCAGCAGCAGTAGGTCTCAATATACACAAAGGTAAAAGAAAGATTCTCCGGTACAACGCAGCATGCACCAATCCAATCACAAAGGACGGAGAAGATTTGGAAGATGTAAAAACCTTTACATATTTGGGCAGTATCATCGATGAACACGGTGGACCTGATGCAGATGTGAAGGCACGGATTGGCAAAGCAAGAGCAGCATATTTACAACTGAAGAATATCTGGAACTCAAAACAATTATCAACCAACACCAAGGTCAGGATTTTCAATACAAATGTCAAGACAGTTCTACTGTATGGGGTGAAAACCTGGAAAACCACGAAAGCCATCATCCAGAAGATACAGGTGTTTATTAACAATTGTCTACGCAAAATACCTTAGACCCGTTGGCCGGACAATATTAGCAACAACCTACTGTGGGAGAGAACAAACTAGATTTCAGCGCAGGAAGAAATCAGGAAGAAGCGCTGGAAGTGGATAGGACACACATTGAAGAAAGCACCGAACTGCGTCACAAGACAACTCCTCACATTCAATCCTCAAGGCCGAAAGAAGAGAGGAAGACCAAGGAACACATTACGCCGAGAGATGGAGAGAGACATGAGAAAAATGGACAAGAATTGGATGGAACTAGAAAAGAAGGCCCAGGACAGAATGGGTTGGAGAGTGCTGGTCGGCGGTCTATGCTCCATTACGAGTAACAGGCGTAAGTAAGTAAGTAAGTTAAACTATTACATAATCCAATTTTATTGTATCATAAAATTTTCAGATGAAACTCATTAAATTTATACGAATATTCGTCAAGCTTAGAACAAATAGTTTGACAGAAATTGGGCGCCGAGTATAGAGAAGTCATTATATTTCAAAATTATATCTGAAATAATCTCAGCGATTAAAATTTAAAAATAATTCCAACGTTTCGTCCAGCTAACTTGATGATTTTGATTTTAATTATTACCCTGAAGAAGTCCAGACAAGTTAGATGGACGAAACGTTGGAATTATTTTTAAATTTCAATCACTGAGATTATTTCAAATAATAATTTTCACATATAACGAAATTCATTCAAGTTTACAAATTAAACGTATCTCACTGACCAATAATTAAAGTAGGCTATCATTTAACTTAATTATATCTAGTTTAAAGTTATTAGGTTTCAGATGTATAACAACAGGGAATCAATTCATGCAATAAAAATTAGCTGAAATATGCATTTAAATGAATATCAAATAGAATATGAAGAGTTATATTTAGAAACCTTACAAAGTTATTTCATCTATATTATTGATAACATTCATCAACTTCTAATATCTTGTAGATTATAATCAATAATTTTCAAGATCCTTAAGTATCAAAACTTAATAGTAAGTGATTTCATATCCCACGACACATTTTGATTGTCAGAGACTATTTAAGATCTAATTTTATAACATCTAATATTGTATATAGGACATATATTAGCTTATGAAATATATCACCTAAATATAAAAACTATCCAAAATGAACTAAAAGTATTTATAATTCTCCCTAAAAATATTTCAGTAGTTAATTTCAATGTTAATAAAAATCTAGTTTATTTATTTTAAACTGATCACTTATGAATGTGTTGCCATATCTGATGATATTTCACATAACCAAAAAAAAAAAAAAAACGTTTATATAGATGTTATTGAGACGACTTCACTTGTAGATGGAATAAATTTATTTCACCTATTTACTATGATCTATACAGAAATGAAATGAAACAACGATTAATCAACCATAAAGGTGACAATAAGTAACTTAAATATAATGAACTGCAAACATTACCCCTTTTAATATATGTTCTAAATTATCTTGATAACTTAAATAAAGATTAATTTGCCAGCTGGTATTATTATTATTATTACTATTAGTTCCATGGTGATTAGTATCAGACATTAATTTATGTTGTTTAGTATTTGAATTCAGTTCTTTAATGTTCAATGCACAACCAGCGCGACAAGCAAATAGAGTCACTTTATCCCCAATCACAACCTATGGAATATAATTTTAAAAAAACAAAAAAAATAGTTCATTATTCAATTAACTTTTAAAACATATGGATGTTTTGTATTATATAATGAGGTCTATGATTGAGATTGCTAGAATAAATGATTATTCGCAAGTTACTGTATAGGATTTGTACGTAATTGTGTTATCACACAAACATACACAAATAAAGCCCAAAATAGTTATTTATTACTTAACTTCCTATATTGAGAAGAGCAAGAATAAACATTCTAACAGAATAACATGAATTTATTTTTATTTCGTTGGTTCTCGTCAGCTGCTTACAACCTGTGATATTTATAAATCATAATTACATAATGGGTTTAGATTACTTACATGAGAGGGTTTAGTTGGAAGTTATATTGAAAATATATTAGTATAATATATGTGGAAAATGTCTACGAGACAGCTCTTACCCACAAAAGTTTATTGACAAATATAAAAACCTTAAAGAAAACAATACTGAAGTAATTACGGTCAATAAAAAACCAATAACTATAAATCTTAACTTCAAAGGTGATGATGTTGCAAACATAATCAGCAAAAGACTGAATACTGCGCTAGCTAGAGCTTATCCGGTGGCCAAACTTCTAATTCTGCATAAAACAACATGTTCAATAACTCAAAGGTTAATAAGCATCCTTTTTATGTTACCGCCAATTGTATTTATAAATTTACGTGTACCTGCCAAAGCAGCTTCATTGGCCGAACAGAAAGGAGGGCATATGTTAGATTTTTGAATATGTTCCAAAATACCTCAGAACAAGAGAAAGAAAGACTCTAAACAGTGCGATCACCAAACATCTCCTTGATACACGTGTATGAAACTTCTTATATATTAAATTGTTGTTACTAAAACTTCACTAATTTAAAATTATTTACATGACAACTTGATATCATCTGAAGTTAACTAAATAACATAGAGATTGATAATAAATTGTAAATAATGACTTTATTGTTAAATTGTGAAATATCATTTACTGTTTCGTACACTAATATCTTAAAACTTAGAACTTATTTTTACAATGAAATAATGAATGAATAGTTTCGATCAGTCACAATCACAAACTACCTCTTGACATATTAACAAAATGATGTAAAAATCATGACAAAATAAGTAAACTTCATTAAGGATAAATACTAATAAAAACAAACTTTTCAAGTGGAACATTCATATTCACTATTTGATCTTATTTCAATAGTCTTACTACTGAGTATAGATAATAACGGTTATTTTATTATCGTAATAGCAATTGAATTATACTTTTAATTATTTTTTCTGGTTAGCGTTTTTTTAGCGAGTTGGGTTTCTACGGGATTAGATCGCTATCCTCATGCCCAATCCTCCTCCTTTATCCGGGATTAGGATCGGCAGTAGCCTCAGAGAGGTTCCAGGTGGAGTAGCAATTGTGCTTAAGTTTTCATACACGAACAGTCACTTTCGCTATAGTTTGCGTTTATTTTGCAAATTAAATTAATATTCTTTAGTATTTTCTTATTGAGTTTCGGTCTAAGTACATCCATAGTAGTTTGTTGAGATGATAAAAATAACAATTGTTTTTACTTTATTTTTTAAACGACGATGTAAATTACTTAACCGATAACTGAGGGAATTAAGAACAAATAAGAGTTAAGATAATTCAAGTTCTACTCATTAAAAATGTATGATACACAATGAAAATACATTTCAAACAAATTACATTTGATGAAGCTCACTAGAATCAGAAACGTCAATTATCAAATGACAACAATTATTATTGATGCAAAATATCTTAATTGATAAATTTCCAAACAAACATAAAAACCTACTGATTTAAATTCAGTCAAAAAGATTGGTAAAAGTTTCGTTTCTTAACTTACCGGATCACCTATTTGTTTGTGTTTATATGATGGTTGAATTATAAACCATGACTCATCACCATGATATTCTTCCAATGTAAAACGTACAGAAGCATCTTTAAATTCAGGAGATAATTGCTTTTTGGCTCGAAGTATTTTATTCGACTTTACATGAAGAAGCTAGAAATATTAAGAGAACAAAAACTACCTTTCATGTCAACACTTTTAGTAAATTGTAGTAGGAAAATAATAAATTATCAATAACTATAACATTTGATTATATTGACCGTAAAATATTCATGATTGAATTCATCAAACAGTATGGTCACAAAACGTAGTATACTATAGTTGATTCTTTTCTACCTGATATGATGAAGATAATGTGTGTTACTTCTGTTGTTACGTCACCTGATTCGAAAGTTTTCCTTGTCATGCTGGACAACACTGACAACACCAATTAAAGTAATTCATATGCCTTATTTATTCACAAATTAATTACATTCCATTCACTTTACTCGAAACAATCGTCTTTATTTGTTATTTGCTTTGAAAGACGATTGATACACTGTTAAAAAAATCCTAATTCTGTAAATCTGACAAAATTTGTAATTGAAGTCCCCAAACATTACCGATATCCTTTTAAGTTGGTATTTCGCTTCACTGTGTGCAACACCAGACATTAAAAAGCAGCTTACTGTCAGCTTCAAGAATAGTTGTGTTACGACTTGTTGACCCTATTCCTCCACCTCATTTCTGAAGTAAAAAACTGTATGTATATCTTTTGTTTGTGACTTCGGTTGTCATCTCAGCAAAATAGATGTTGAAAGCTATGTTTGAAAGACATGCACATAATCTGAACTAAACCTTTTTCGAATGAATAATTACATTTAAACGTTCAATATGGGTCACAAAATTAGTAAAACACCACTGTAAAATGTTTTTGAATGTTCCTTTTCTAAACTAAACTATCTATTAAATCTAAAAATGATAAATCATAACAACTTCTTTAACTTGAGTTGTTTACAAATATGATTTTCACATTATGTCAGCATTTGTAAAACAGGCGTTTCAAATACCTATTGACTTGACTAACTTCTATATCGTAGACTTTGGACATGATCAGCCATTTTGTCGTAATAACACGCATACTATCATGTATGATCTGGTTTTTGACTAATGAAGCGTTAAAACTAAAGTATAGATGACCAAGGCTTTTAATTCAAACCAAACATGAAAACTAAATAAACAAATGCCTTGCATGTGAATTACTATTTCAGTAACATAAGTGACGAGATCTCAAAAAAAGACAATTAAGTTTAGAGTTTAAAACGTCAACTATTAGTCAAAATCAAGTTTGTGGATTAAGAAAATGATAGGTATATATTTGATGATATAGTAAACATAATTGTATCGGTTTCTATTCATATTGGTATTTAGTCAATCTATTATTTAATTTCAAATATTTAAAGTAATTAAGAATATTAACTCCGGAAGTGTACACATCAATAAACCGGTCACACTTGTTAAAGCATTTCTGGCTTTCTCACAAATGTGATTCATTTAAACCATCAAGTCACCCTATTTTCAGTCTGTGGTTTCTATATGGTTGATTGTTTATATTCTTCATTCCTAACAGTTGGTGAATATTCTTGTTACTGTCAGTTAAAAAACTTCCACCTCGCATTACATCGATTCTCACTACTTTGCAGATTCGTTCGTTGACTAAGAAAATTTCTAATAACAAAAGGCGTCCAAGCTAAAGCGAACTAGCTGAAGATTGAATATTACACGTGTATTTAAAAATTCCATTATTTTACTTATGTTAAACTAAAGACAGTTATATGAATGTGCTAACACCTTAAATCTAAATGAAGATAATAAGAGAATTAGGTCAATTTTATGGAGTGGGTTTGCTTTACCGTTGAAAAGAATAATCTTGAAGTGAACAAACAGTGTTATAATCCTTCGACGATCAAGAGATAAATAACCTTACCTTCGTAAAAATGTCTAACTATCCAGGTTTTTCCTGTTGAAATTATTAAATTTATTAACTTTATGGTGTCATTCGACTGTAAACCTATGAATATAATAATCAACTAAATAATGATTCGCATGATGAATAAACTTGTTAAAGTAAAATTCTTGCGATATGAGCGAATGATATAACGTATTAATTTCTATGAACACTTCAATTTACTTTAGTAAATATGGTATAAGTTCCCCTCCTCTTAGAAATCGGATTGTTTTAGTAGGATAGAATTCATCGTATGAAGTTAAACGAACCTGGCTTTCTCATAGTTTGGGAAATCGTCATTGTAGATGTATGTGACTTTGAGCCTTTAAATTATTCTAGAAGCATCTTGTTAAATTGTTAAATATTCAGTGTAAAGATATTGGGATTCAACCTGTCTCAAAACAGTATGAATGGCATGAAAAATCAGTCGAGAGATAGCTTAGTGGTTTAAGCGTCCGTCTTAGGTAGTCGAAAGTAGTCAACAGTAAACCATGAGCCTGGGTCTTGTGATATTTGGAGCTCGTTAGTAAGACGTACCTGCAATCTCAAGATAATTGAAAACTTCTGCTGGATTCAATCTGATGTAATCTAGTTTCACAACCTGAGACACTACCACTGGCTTATTCCAGCAACAACTAAATCCCAATAGAGCCGGGGCATTCACAATTAAATTATCATTAAAGAGTGACTAATATTATGTTTGTCTAGTCTTTTAGTATATTTTGTCGATGTTGAGTGGAGATAATAAAAATATTTAAAACCTAATAATCCCAATTTTACATCATTTTAACTAACTTAAGTTAAGTACTTTAGTTTTATCGGAAAATTTCTTTGACAAAAGCATTATATTTGATATGAAGTCGATATAACGTAAAGGTGAACTATCGATAATATATACCATATGAATGGACAGTAACAAACTTGTAATTGGAACACCTCGTAACTATACAGGACAGAAATAATCAGCCAGTCTCGGAACTATTTATTACCAGTAAGATAAAGATAATTAGAGAAAACAGGCCACTCAAATGGCTAAAAACTACAAGAACACCGTTTCTGAGGCAAATTTGCCGTGACTTCCCAATAACCACGAATACAATCAGTTGTTTTTTAGAATACTAGGGCGCAATATTCTTTTAATACGAAACAAGTGATGAATTTGGATATTTTTGTGATCTATTCAATGTTCCACTGTCAAAAAATTTCAGGCAGTACAGCTCTGAACTGTAAAGTCTCTGTTTATGACTAAGTGTACATGATAAAAGGAAATTAAACTTGTCTTTTAGCTCAGAGCTTTACAAAGAAAAATGGATTGACAATTATTCTGAAATTTGAATCACATAAAACGCCTGTTGCACCCATTGGTCTGAAAGTTTCATTTAAAAAGCTTGAAATCGACATAACTTGTGCATCGAAAAATTTAAGTCGTAATTATACTATTGTGTTATGGTAAAACTTGCAAAAGTACTTACCCAGCTTATCAATCCAAATATTAACTATTCAAATTCATGATAATTCTAAAGGGTTAGTGCTTCTTTAAAGTAACACAAGACCCCAAGTTTTATTTTCCATCAACATTTCCAAAAGTACGATTGAATTAACCAACTCATCACATAATACAAGTCAAATAAATTCATTTTGAATACTACACTGACAGCATTGTGTAGCGCAACGCTAAATTAGACGAGTATAAACCAATCAAACGAAAGGTAATACCGAAATCTTGATGCCGAGTTTACAGTTCATTTTTTCACCCTTATTATTTATATCGTGTTCTTACAAAATAAGTGAAACCTCTGATAAGTCCAGTAATAAGCTGATAGTTAACTGGAGCTCAACTTTTTTATGATGTGTAAAATATTTTGTAGAAACCACTGACGACTGGAAACTTAGCGGTAATGAATTAAGACTTAACTTATGTGCATTGATATTAATGATGGATATAAAATAAGCCTGACATCCTTCTGAGAGTGTATGTGTTTACATACTTGTCCTAAATGTATAATATAATAGCGAAACTTTAAAAAAAGTAAGGTCAGAAAAAGCAAAATGCTCGACTTGATGTCAACAATAAAAGTATAAATTTACATCCGTAATTACGCTATATAATAAAATTATTCAGTTACTACCCTGTTTACACAATGGCTGTGGGTGAAATCATTTTGTTAGTATCACAGAATATTTAGTTGCTTTTCCACCCCCAAATGCCCTGGTATGGCCGAGAGTGGGGTGGGTTCGCCCTCCCTCTCGAAATGCTCTCACATGGCCACGCGTATACAGCCTCTGCCAACGAAGTCCTACTCACTGCCTTCTCGCAACACGGGTGTTGTTTACGAAAATGAGATGACGAAAAGCGAATGTCCGGCGCTTTAACGGGACCCAAATCAATGGTGCACATGGGCCCTAGTATCCTGCCTGAGGGAACGAATGGCGTATTAACCAATGTCTTGGTCACCGGCTTCCATGGGACTGCATCTTCTTACGATGCTCCACTGCCTTGTGGGTTAGACCCTTAGGTCAAAGGCTCGGGATGTAGCCCCCTAATAAAACCACCTGCTTCGGTCTGGGCACCCGAGCAGTGTCTCAGCCCACACACAAAAACATGGTGTGGCGCATATATATTTGGTGCCCCTTGTACCAATATTTATATGTTCAAATAAATAAATAAAATAAATTAGATGCTTTCCAGTTGAGTCCAAACTTTATTAATTAAGCTAAACAGAGTAAAAAAACAAGACCGCGTAAATAAAGCTGGAATAGCAACTACTGTTTTGACCTCATTCAAATCCGTAAAGGAAACCAATTGTATGAAATAAGACTATTAATGATCAAATGTAATACTTTCATTAAACGTCAATGATATTTCTACAAAAATTTCCCCTCAGAGTAATACAGGACAATCAATAAATATATATTCTTTCTCGATTCACCGTTAAATACGAACAGATAAAGGCTATACCACCCAGTGAAGGAATGAAACAATATGACCACCTTATGAAAAATACAACCAAAATGCCTCTAAATACTCACACATGAAAACAAAGAAATAGAGATTAACTGTCTCAGTATGCTTCTACCCTCCGTTGTGTTTCAGTTAACAAAACGTGTACATTCCGAAAATTTGAAGTTTTTCATGATTTCCACCTCATAATTAAACTCTACCTAAAAATTATCCTAATTATCAATTAATTTAATCAGTTTTGTGAAGCATTCGCAAAGCTGATGATCTACACAAACTCTTTAACCTAACTTAAACTCAGTGCATACTTCAGCAGTGTCCTCGTGAAATAAGTCGAAAGATATACAAATAAATGTCCAAGGAAATCGTCTCTTAAAACAAATCCCGACCACCATTTTGATCCAAAGTGTAGAAGAAACTTGGCAATCACAAAAGCCTTAGGTTGTGAAAGCGTTCGCAACACTAGATGAAAATTACGCATAACCAGCCACATTTTAATCTTGAGCGTGATGCCTGTTATAATAGGTGTAGGTTGGAAAATCCTGGCTGAGGGGAGATCGGGATATGTAACTGTAATCTGTGGAACCGTAGACTTCCAGAATTATAATTTCAAGGCTAAAATCAGTGAGACAACTTCAATTTATGGCCAGCGACATTGGATAGTATGGTCAAAACTTGACAGTAGTGGTAAACTTGTACCTATTTTTTATTTTTCTTTAAATCCTGAATTTAAAAGTATCTCACGTTTAATGTTCTGTAAACATATTCTTTTCTTTGAATTAAATATCTCACATACATAGTTCGGTTGTGTTTGATATTTTAAACTCTTTATCACTTCCTGTCTTGTTACTTTCCTCCCTCACTAAGTAAATGCAAAGTGTGACAACAGATACACATTAGTGTTAGGTTCTACATTAAATATGACGACGTGACTGTCATACTGCTTAACATCAAAACAACTAACTGGCAGGAAAAAGTATAAAAATTAATATAAAGGTAATGAATAAGGCATTGTTCAGTAATGTTTTCGAAACTCAGAGGAAAAAGATAGTGGAACCATACCATTCACTGTTACCAACTCATTATTCATCGATTTCTCAATTTTTCAGAAACCATGATCAGGTAGCCAGTAACTATCCAGTATTTTTACACTAAAAACATCTAGTTCAATAAA